CAGCAGAGGCGCTCCCGTCCTGAGCACAGACACAGACGCAGGCACACACTGACCTGGGGGTTGGGCGCGGGTGGGCGCTGGGGCCAGTGCGTGCCCTGCCCGTGCTGGCCAGCCACCCGCCCGCAAAGGCGACTATTTATAAGGCTGTCAGCAGCGCGCAGCATGCCGGGAGCCGGCTCCGAGTGGCAGGAGGGAGGGAGGGAGGGAGGAGGCAGGGAGAGCAGACAGGGAAGGGAGGGGGCTGGACCAGAGCGGAGCCCTGATGGGAAGCCCGAGACCGGGGTCCTGCACACGCAGATGGCCCTTCACCACCCCTCGAGGGTTTTCCACTCCTGGAAAACCCTCAGTTTCCACATCGCTCCAGGGGGACAGGACCAGGCTTCCCATGGGACCGCTGGGGAAACTGAGGCCTGGAGAGGAGAGGCTGTCTGCACAGCAAATTGGTGGCAGGGAGAGGCCAGACCGGGGACGGAGAGGACTCAGGCATGGATTCTGGGGACTCTGCTGGCCAGGCCAGCCCCCCCCCGCCCATCCTCAGATCCTGCCCAGAGGCCCCTGCACCGACACCCACCTGGAATGCCTCCTCCCTTTCCAGAAGGGGTTCGAAGAGCTCCTCTCTCCCAGCTGGTGGTTGTGTAGAAGATTGTAAATAACCAGCCCTGCCCCGTGGAGCTGCCGGCAGCTCCCAGTGAGGCGAGCCTGAGCATGCGGGACACGCTGAAAGCTGCACCCAGGTGGGGGTCCTAGAACCCTGATAAGAGAACAGCTCCCAGTGATGAGCGCCCAGTGCACGCCAGGTGCCGGGCAGAAAGAACACTGGTCTCAGACCACGTCTGTGAATCCTTACACACGGAGGGACGTGAGGTTCACACCTGTCAGCTAGCTTGCCTGAGGTCCCCAGTAGAAAGTGATGTGTGTAACCATGGAGACCAACATAGCAGCAGGAGGTGCTCAGTAATGGAGCAGAGACCAGGACCATGCACCTTCGGAACTCATGCATTTGACCGCTAAACCATGTCACGACCTTGAAGGCAGCAGCAGCAGCCCCAGATGGTGGGGTGAGTTAAATTTAGAATTTGTTGTGTAGGCACTAGGGAGCCATGGAAGGTGTTTGAGCAAGAGAGTGAGACTACCCAGAGAGTGAGACCACTTTAGGGGGGTAGTTTCTCAGCAACAACAGCAGCCTGGACACTGGGAGGCCTGGATCTAGTCCCAGCTCTGCCACTTGGGACATCAGACAAGGTCCTTACTCCTTGGGACCTTAGTTTCCCCATCTGTGGGAGGGGTGGGTGCTGGGTCAGAGGGTCTGCCTTAGAAATTGCTTGAAAGGCCCTCTGGAAGGCTGTACATGTCTGTGCACATTGGCAAGACCTGTGGGAAAAGCAAACCGATGGAGTCGATAAAAATTTCATACCTGCCCTTCACCGCCAGGAACCCCACACGTGGGCACCAAATGTGCACAGGATGGTTCTCCAGGGCCAGTGGGGACGGACTGACGGGGGCGGGGGGGCGGGGGGGGCCGGGCAGTGGCGCAGCCAGGCGCGGGAAGGTGTTGACGGCCCTAGAGTGGGCGTGAGGAAGGAGCAGGGGTCTGTGCGGCTGGGGGCGGGGCTGGGGGCGGGGCTGGGGGCGGGGCTGGGGGCGGGGCGGGGACGTGAGAGAAACAGGCAAAAAGACCAGTGGTACCAGTCTTTTACTGGATTTATTTATTTCTTAATCCTCACCTGACTACATGCATAGAGAGGGGGAGAAGGAGGGAGGGAGGGAGAGGAACATCAAACAGGTGCCTGTCACACACGCCCGAGACCTTGCAGTTTACTGGACGGCGGCACCCCGACCCGTGGAGCCGCACGGCCCAGGGCTGCTGCGCCAGCCTTCTCCCGCCGGCAGCGTTTCTAAACACGTGAGGACGTGCGTGTCCAATCTACTCCTCAATGTTTTTTCTTTGCACTTCAACATCTATGAGATTGTCTGGGAATCAAACGGATGGCATCTCAAAGGTGCAATGAAGCAGCACCCGGAGGGCGGCTGCGGGCCCGTGACCCCCCAGGTGGAGGTGGGGACCTTCCTTAAAGGCCCCCCCCAGGGCTATTCTTGCGCATGCAACAAGCCCCTGTTATTTCACACGTAAAACACCTTCCACACGGAGATACCTTGAGCCCAGTACGCTAAACGAAACAAGCCAGTCACAAAGAGACAAGGGCTGTACGATTCCAAGTTCATAGAAAAAGAAAGTGGGGTGGTGGCCACCCAGGGCTGAGGGGCAGGGGGAAACCAGTGAGGAACTGTTGTTGAATGAGGAAGGAGTTTCAGATCTGCAAAATGAAAAAGAAAGTTCTAGAGATCTGTTCCATAAGAAGGCACAGCTATGTAATAGTACTGACCCGTACAGTTAAAAAAAAGGTTAACTGGTAAATCTGATGTGTTCTTTCAGCACACTAAAAAAATCATAAATTTAAAAATGACAAAAACTCCCCGGCTGGGTGGCTCGGTTGATTGGGGTGTCACCCTACACCCCAAAAGATTTCGGGTTTGATCCCGGTCAGGGTACCTATGGGAGCAACTGATGTTTCTCTATGTAAATCGATAAATATCTCCTTCGGTGAGGGTTAAAAAAATAAATAAAATTATAAAGTAGAAATTGTAAAAACGGGAGGAAAATCTATTTTAAGTATCTGTTTTAATCATTTCATTTGCATATGGCCTATAAATTTCCCACCAAGCCTGGAATATTGAAGTTTCAGGATTTTTTTTTCCTCAGCTTTCACCTAAAGAAAGAAAGAAAGGAGGGAGAGAAGAAGAGAGGCAGGGAGGGAGGGAGGGGGGAGGGAAGGAAGAGAGAGAAGGAAAGAGGGAAGGAAAAAATTGCATGGAGGAAAAATCTGCATTATACCCTAGACTGTTAACAGGGAACAGGGCTGGGCAATGCCCTCTCTTTTTACCCTATATCATTTGTGTGGTTTAAGTTATAACATAAAAATACATGTATCTAAAAACATAACCATATAAAATAAGACCAATTAAAAAAAAACATTTAAAAATATTCTGGTTAAAGGCAGAATCCCCAGACCTGGAAACGAGCCAGCCTCGGAGACTGAATCTGGGGCAGCCTCATTCTGAGGTTCCAGCCCGCGGCCAGGGCTGCCCGCGCCGGGCTGGGCTGCGCCGCGGAGCACCCACAGAACGCAGCTGGGGGACCGGTCCGGGAAGCACACACTGGGTTTGCAGCTGGTGGGGGATGCCTCCAGCCCCAAGGAGGGGTGGGGGGCTCGCGAGGGGGGAGAGGGATACACAGGCGTGCGGGAAGATCCTGAACCCTAAATGCGGTCTTGGCCACGGTGGGGAGCAGGTGAAAATTTCAGAGCAAAGAAGGACCGTGACGATGTGGTAACTTGGGCAATGAGTGTACCAGTCTCTGTGGGGCCCTCCTGAGGGGGTAAGAGTCGGGGGAGCTGAGGACTAGACCCCAGGCCTCTTACCTTCAGCATCCTCCATCGAAGTCCTGCCTCCTGATGCTAGACCGACCTTTCCCAGCATCCACCCCCCCCTCCACAACCCACCTCCTGACGCACTGCTGGGTCTCCATGTCCGCCAGTGGACAGGCAGGTTCCCAGAAGCCTTTGCACAGGGCTAGAGTGCGCCGTACTCCATACTCCCATCTCCATGCAGGGCCTTAGGGTCCCCATGAAATGACTTTGCAAGCAGTCCCTGTCCCCCTGACATCCCCATCACCACCATCACTATGTCCGGTGGCAGCCCAGCCTCCTGCCTGTCCTGCTGCTGTCCAAGCAAGATGAGCTCTCCAAGCAAGAGGGACTGAGCCTTGCCCCCTTCATCTGGCCCCAAGCAGCCTTGTCTCCCACTGTTGCCACCTCCATGCCTACTGAGAGAGCTGTGGGCCCCCCCCCACTGGACTATGGCCCCGGCCATTCTTCCCACCTGACATTCCCTCCCTCTTCACCTGCACCTAGTACAGAGCGTAGCACGCAGCTACTCACTAGGAGAATGCAAACGTGAATTCAGAAACAAATGTGGTGCGACCTTCCCTGCTCCCAGCTCCGTGGCCCCCCCACCCGGGCTGGCCCAGTGCCCGGGGACAGCTCTTTCCTGGTCCCCGGCAGGCCGCCTGCCCTTGTCTCACACGGTCGCCCTTTGTTAGGCCTCTGCTCCCAAGGGTATCTTATCTGCTGAAACAGGTTGTAATCTCCCAGAGTCGCGACCCCCTTCCTCCTGCCAACCTGGGGTGGTAAACAAGGCCTATCACTCAACTCCAGCTCAACCCGTCCCTCCCAGGGCTGCAGCCCTGCCTGACTCCTGGCTGCCTGGCCCTGCAGGGAATTTCGGCTCCCTGCCCTCGGCACCCCCAGGCCCGAGAGCCAACCTCTGACCCCACCATGTGTCCTCTCCCCCTGAATCCTGCCCTTGCTTCCTCTCTCCTGTTCCTCCCCCCTCCCCCAACTTCTTTCTAAGACAGAGATGTCATTCTGCGTCCCCAAAGCTCTTGTCCCGGCCTCTGCAGGACCCGTCCTCATCTTCCAGGTCTCAGAAGACTGTCACCTACTCAAAGCCCCTCTCACAGCACCTGTACTATTGTCTTTGCAGCCCTTCCTTCCTTCCTGGGGTGGCCTGACTGGGACAGAACCTGTTCCGGGGCCTCGCCCCTCCCTGGAACCCGAGCTCCTTGACAGCAGTGGGCGGTCCTGAAACTGGGGCCCTGCCCGGGGAAGCGACTTGCCCAAGGTCACAGAGGCAGGAGTAGGCAGGACTGGAAAAGCCAGATGGGCTCGACTTGGGAACTCCACACCTCCCCAACCCCCAGAGCTGCCAGCTCCCCACCCAAGCTGCAAAACGCACGACTCACTGGCCGGCTGGAAAAGCTGGCCACCCTGCTCGTGTGTGGGCTCCTAACCTGGAGGGTGTGGGCGCGGTCCCACAGAGGCCCAGTGCCCTGGACCAGCCGGGGCCCAGCTCGACCCATCGGAAGATGCAGGAGCAGGAGCTGGAGTTGGAGCTTAGGCGCATTTATTCCTGTACAAATCATTACAAAACCAAGTCTGGGGGAGCTGCCAGACCCCACCCCTGCCCCAGTGTGCAATGGCTTGCTGCTGGCCGCCTCCTCTCTACCTGGCCCCTCCCATTCCACAGCCTCCTCCAGGAAGCCCTCTGGTCTTCCCTTCCAGGCTCCAGAGGAGCAGGGGGCAAACCCACCCCCTGAGGCCCAGTCATAAAGTGCCTGATACAGAGTGAGGAGGGACAGAACCCAAGCAACACAGCTCCCGGCCCCCTAGAGCTTTTCCGGGCCCAGCAGGAGGGAGACGCTTGGATGATTTCAGCAGCTGCAGACAAAGGGGCTGCTTGAAACCTCGGTTTGGCTGGGGTGCCCCCTTTCTCAGCCCCAAAGGCTCCTCCAACAGGTGGAAAGCCTCATTGCTGGACAACAGAAAAGGGGGCCTGGCTCTTTAAGAGCCAAGCTAATGGCAGCTGGGCCATTCCTATCAGAGTCCCCCAGACCTGGGGGAGTTTGCGCAAAAATACCCTCATCTCCAGGAGGAGGTAGGGAAAGGAACCCCAGACCCCTAGAAAGGTGAGACCCCCAGCAAGGGGTAGTCGCTGGAGGGGTCTAGTATTATGGAGGGCAGACCCAAGGCAGCCAGTGGGGAAGGTGTAAGGGGCCGAAGACTCCACCTTAGAACCTGACATGGGCAGAAGGGTGCCAGAGAGGGGGATGAGGGATTTGTCCAAGGCCACTCAGGGCAGAGCTGAGACCCAGACACTGCCCCCCAACTTTGGGAACCCCTCGAGCCCACAAATGCCCCGGCCCGGCCTCCAGAGAGCTCCCACCCCCTATGCAACCTCCCTTTCTGGCTCTGGGGAAGTGAGGGGTAACACAGAGTACCCAGGTCCTTGGAACAGGACCCCACTGTCCCGGACAATAGGGAATGATTTGGGAACCATCCTGGGGCTCTGAACCAAGGCCTCATGGGAAAGCACATGTCCTTGGCCTCAAATGACTCAGAAATACCCTGATTGACTACGCTCAGACCCTGACTGGACAAGAAATCCCGACACCCCTGATTAACCACAGAAAAGTCCAAATCCCTGATTGGCCCAGAGATATCCCCAGGCCCTGACTGGCTGGAGGATACACCCTCTTCAAGGCCCTGATTGGCCAGAAAGTACTCTGGCCAGCCTTGATTGGCCAGGAGATGGCTGGCCAGCCTTGATTGACCAGAAGATATTCTGGCCAGCTTTGATTGGCCAGGAGATGGCTGGCCAGCCTTGATTGGCCAGGAGATGGCTGGCCGAGAGCCACTTCTCCTATGTCCCTTGTGTGGGCCCCGCAGGCAGGGCGGCCTAGGTCCACGAGGGATGGGAGAAGGTGATCCCGTACAGCTGGGCCCAGGACGAGAAGACCCTCTTCTCCGTGATGAAGCGGTGGTGGTTGCCCTTGCGGCTGTGTTCGTTCTGGATGTAGGTGACACACTCGTCCGGCCCCTTGGGCTCATAGTAGTGGTAGGGCATGCGCTGCAGGCGGGACCGCTGGCTGGGGCAGAGCAGATAGGGGCTGTGAGCGTGGGGTGGGTGCCGGTGGGGCCCTTGCCCCTTCTAGCCCCTGACCAGCTGCTATAGGACCTGAATGGCAGAAATTCTTATACCTCCCTGGGCCTCAGTTTTCCACCATTAACTATTTTTTTTTTTAAGCAGTAGACCTTTTCCTGTCCCCAAGGCAGAGTAGGGTAGACGTAAGGACTGTGGGCTCTGGAGCCTGGCCCCAACCCTTCACTGTCTGTGGGACCTTTGGCCACTCACAGAACAACTTCCTCAGTTTTCCCCATCTATGAAATGAGGATAATAACATACCTATCCTTTAGGATCACTATGAGGAGTGAACGAGATCATAAATATAGTCATGCTCGAGACATGGTCCCCACTCAGTAAACCACAACTGTGCTTCTTGGGCTTTTCATGCAGTAATAATAATAGTTATTACTAATACACAAACTCTGGACTCTGGCCCCTGAGGCGGCTCTGAGGAGCCTGGACCTCCGCAGGGCAGTCTGAATGCCATCAAACAGAGACCCTTAAAGGCCGCCCAGCCGAGGTTTCCCGGCCCCCAGCTCCATCCCAGGGCCAGTGACTACGCACTCTCCTGGGGGGGCTCACCTGCAGTGGTCGGGGGGGACCATGCCGTAGACGTGCACGTGGTCACACAGCTCCACCGCAATCACCATGGTGAACCAGCCTGTGCTCAGCCACGAATGGGACTTCTCCCTGGGGGCAGAGAGGGCGCTCGATGAGGGGGCATGCCGGCGGGGGCAGGGCAAGCAGGGAGGAAGAGTCTACCCCCACAGTTTCACAGAACTCCCCCACTTTAGCCACCGCTGTCCAGCCCCCTGGGGGAGCACGGGTTTGCTGGCAGAGGGCTTGTCTGGGCAGAGGTGAGGGGTGTGGAGAGAGCTCCTTTGAGAGCGAGAGTAGGAGAAGGGCATGCTGGGAAAAAACTGTCGGGGAAACTGGTCACACCGGAGCAGGCAGGGGGTGGCCACGACCACAGAGCATGCTAGAGGCAGCTGTGCCCAGGCTAGAAGCAAACTCCTACGGGGCGACCTATCAGAGACAGTCGTGCTGGGAGCGGCAGGTTCAGGGCAAGGCATGGGAAGAGAGCTGCGAGCCTGAAGCTGTGCTGTCCACTGGGGTGGCCGCAGGCAGCGCGGGTGGGCACTTGGCATGGGGTTGAGACGTGGCATCAGTGTAGAACACGGTCTGGATTTCTTGGAGAGTGTGAAAAAAGCATGCAGAATCTGTCACTGATGGTTTTTTTTGTATGGATGACATGTCGAACTGAAAATAGTTGGGATATATTTGGTTGAAGGTGGTTCTCTGAAAAGTTTACTAGAAAAGAAACCTCTCACCAGACTGACAGAAGAAGAGAGGAAAGACACAAATATCAAGGGTAAAAGAGAGCCTCTCGTCACAGACCATGTTAACATTAAATGACTAAAAAAGCCACAAAAGACTACGCGCATGGAAACTCCGATGAAATGGGCCAGTTTCTTGAACACTACAAACGACCAAAACTCACCCGAGACCAAACGGACAACCTGAGTATCCTGTGACTACTGAGGAAAGTGAATCCACAGTTTAAAATCTTCTGGAAAACACTCTCCAAGCCCAGATAGTTTCACTGGCAAATTCTAGCAAACATTTAAAGGCAAGAATAACACCAATTCTATACAATCGCTTCCAGAAAACAGAAGAGGAAACACTTCCCAGCTCACTTAGTGAGGCTGGCATCAGCCTGACAGCCAAACCAGGCAGAGACAGCACAAAATAAACTACAGACCACCGTCTCTCACGAACACAGAGACCAAAACCTCAAAGTACTAGCAAATCATATCCATCACTATATAAAAACAACAATACACCACAACGAACTGGAGTTGATTGCAGAAATACGAGGCTAACTCGATAGCCTTGAAAAAATCAATCAAGATAATCCACCATATTAATAGTCTTGAAAAAACCACATATTAATTGAGGTGGAAAAACATTGGATAAAATTCAATATCCAGTACTGATAAAAACTCTTAGTAAACTAAGAAGCAAAGGAAATTTCCTCAACCGGACACGGGGAAGCTACAGAAACCCGTAGCTAACCTCACATGTCATGAGGAGAGACTGAACCCTCCCTCCTGAGGCCCTGACCCAGGCAAGGATGTCGACTCCCGCCCCTTCCAATACACTTCCCCGTTGGACTGGAAGTTCCTAGCCAGTGCGCTAAGGGCAAGAAACAGAAATGAGGCCTAAAGGAATAAAACTGGCCTTCTTTGCATGTCCTTCCATAATCATCTGCACAGAACAAACCTAAAGAATCTACCAAAATCTCCTAGAACCAAAAAGTCAATTTAGCAGGATTACGGGATATAAGGTCACTACACAAAAATCGTATTTCTAAATACTAGTGATAAATAATTGAGAACCAAAAAATGCCATTTACAATAGCTCCAAAACTTTAAATATTTAGGTATAAATCAAACAAATATGTATAGGATCCATATGTGGGACATACTGAGTTAATAAAATACATTAAAAATAATTTCATCTGTTTCTCCTTATTGTTTTCATGTAGCTACTATAAAAACTTAAAATTATGTATCTGGCTTGCATTCTATTTCCCTTGGACAGCATGGGCCTAGCTGTTCCGGAGCAGGGCTGGAAGTGACCCGTACTCAGTGCTGGGAGCCAACAGCGCGCTGAAAGCAAGAGGTGCCAGGAGGGACGCTAGAGGGAGCTCTCCTAGAAAGATGCTGGAAATGACTGGGCAACCTTAGAGCAGAGCATGCTGGGGGCCCTCCTTCTCTCAGAGCAATGCATGCTGGGAGGCAGCCCCCGAGGGAAGATGAGGCCATGCAGTGCATGCTGGAGATGACTCGTGCTAAAAGTTGGACATGAGGAGTACTCCCCCAGGAGACCAAACCAGAGGTCGGCATGTGACCACACCCTCGAAGTAGTGCATGCTGGGAGCAACAGGCCCACTGCGCACAGCATGCTGAAGAGCAGAGGGCTGGCCAGAGGGGGCAGGCGGGAGGCTGGTACCTGTCCTTGCCTGTCTCACCCCGGAAGAGGTCGTCAAATTGGCGCATGCGGCCGGGAGAGACGGCGTAGGCCTCCATGTTGGGGAACACCAGGCCTGCCCTCTGGATGACCCGCACGAGGCTGCCCTGGGGTTTCTGCATCTTGTTCGGGGGCCCCCAGAAGATGAATACGGTTTCGGGGGTCCGGTTGACGAACTCCTGGGGCCTCCGCAGCACACGGAAGACACTGGAATGGGCCACCACGCGGAAGGTGGTCTTGTTGCCCACATCTGCCGAGTAGCCCGTGGTGGGCGCGTCATTCATGCGGATCGTGCACTCGGCCCGTTCAATCTCGGGCCCCAGCTTGGTGCCCAGCAGGTGGCTGGAGCTGGTGATGACCACACACTGGTGGCAGCGGGAAGGCAGCGTCTGGGGGGACAAGGAAAGTGAATGCTGTCACAGTCACTTGTGGCAGGCTTTGTACTCTGTACATCCAGGCCTCCAAGAGGCCAAAATAATCACATCCACTTTGTTTATTTTTAGAGAGAGGGGAAGGGCAGGAGAAAAAGAGGGAGAGAAAATCAACGTGTGGTTGCCTCTCATATTCCCCCAACTGGGGAACCTGGCTCACAACCCAGGCATGTGCCCTGACTGGGAATCGAACCGGCGGCCTTTTGGTTCGTTCAATCCACTGCGCCACACCAGCCAGGGCTAAGTATGCCCATTTTAAAGACAGAGAAACTGAAGCCCATTTGTTCAGCGTTCCACAGATATTTATAGTAAGCAGGCTAGTGGTCAAGTGCTCAGGGCAGAGCAACGGGCAAGAGAGACTGCACTCCCGTCTTCGAGAACTCCCGGTCAGAGAGACACGAACACGTAAAAGATAAAATAACTCGGGCGGTGAGTCAACTGTGCTGGGGAGAAGATGCAATGGGGGCGGGAGCAGGGGCTGTTTTTGTGTTGTCCGGTACCGCGGGGTCCTCCCAAACCCCATGTGGACTCCCCAGCAGAGACAGAAATCACTGACAACCAGATGTCTTTCCAAAGATTTCTGCCTGAGGAGATGGTAGGATCTTAGTGCGAAGGGTGGGACGTCGGACAGAACTGACGCCCACCCTGGGGCAGAGCACTTGTCCAAGGCCACGCAGCAAAAAGGGGGCCGAGGGCAGTGGGAGCCGGGGCCTTGACTCCGGGGCCACCCTTTCCTTTAGGAGGGATGGAGAGCGTGGACAGGAAAAAGCGCGGGAGCAGTGGTGGAGGGCAATGCGGGAGGGATCGGGCACCAGGCAGCTCCCGGAAGTGGCCGCCCTACCTTGTTGCCAAGAATGGGGACATAGCCGTCGGTGAGGCTCCACTTCTTGAGGTTGATGGGCCGGCGACTGAGGCCTCGCAGGGAGCCATAGTGGAAGACCTCGTTGGCACTGTTGGAGCTGTAGAGGATGAGGATGGTGATGAGAGCGAAGAGGATCACGAGCACTGCTGACCGCTGCTCCTGGAGAGGGGAGAGCTGGTGAGGGCCCAGTGACCGTGCGGACTTGGCGCCCCACCTCGTCACCCCCTACCACCCCTGCTCCGGGTCCCAAACCAGTTCAGACACTGCCTCCTCCAGGAAGGCCTCCTCCGTCCCTCTGAGCACCGATCACACCACCGTGAGTTCTGAGGCGGGGACTGGGTCAGCCTTGCTCCCCACCATTATCCCAGCTCTCAGGGTGGCGAGGACTGGAGCACAGAAGGTTCTCACAGGCAGGTCTGCTGGGTTGGATTGGATCGTATGTGGGCGCCAGAAGGGTCCCCCTGCAGCTGGAAGGATGCTTGGGAGCCCCGAGGGCATGGATCTGCTCAGGAGTCGGGCTGCACGGGCAGGAACGTGATGCCCAGATTGCCCACTGGGGTGTGTGCACAGGGTCTGCAAGGCTAGCTGAGACCTGGGGGCCTGCCTCCTGGTGCTGAGCCCGCTGCGCTGGTTATCCACATATTGTTTCTCAGCTCCGAGTTCACCCCCTCTTTTTTTTTTTAAAGATTTTATTTTGCCTTGGCTGGTGTAGCTCAGTGGATTGAGCATGGACTGCGAACCAAAGTGTCACAGGTTCGATTCCCAGCCAGGGTATATGCCTGGGTTGCAGGCCATAACCCCCAGCAACCGCACATTGATGTTTCTCTCTCTCTCTCTATCCCCCTCCCTTCCCTCTCTAAAAATAAATGAATAAAATCTTAAAAAAAAAAAGAAAATGAAACCTCATTTTAAGAAAAAAAGATTCCATTTATTTTTAGAGAGGGGAAGGGAGAAAGAGAGGGAGAGAAACATCGATGTACAAGAGATACATCGGTTGCCTCTTGCACACCCCCAACCAGGGACTTGGCCCGTGACCCAGGCTTGTGCCCTGACTGGGAACCAAACCAGCGATCTTTCAGTTTGCAGGCTGGCCCTCAATCCACTGAGCCATACCAGCCAGGGTCCAAGTTCACCCTTTTTGCCAGCTCTGCAGAAATGGATCTGGACCCTTTACTTGTTTTTCCTTACCAGCTAAACTGCATATTAAGCTTTGTCAGTAGAGAGCGCAGAAGACACTGCAGACGGCAAGGCCCTCGCCTCCTGACTCTGGTGGGCTTTTGCGTCCGGCTCTGGGGCACGCGCCCCCACAGGGCACATGGCTTCTTCAGCACGTGCTCAACTCCAGCGCCCAGTGGCCAGCAGCCCGCTGCACTCAGCACATTCCCCCAGCGCCCACCCCCGGGTGGTTCTGGAGCACAGTGCCTCAGGCTCCTGCTGCGACCGCAGCTTCTCCGGAGCTGGGCTCAACCAGCTGCCCTCAGCTTCCCTCCCCGGAGCAGTTCTGCACGGAAGGTGGGTGCCTCTGGGGAGTTATCTCCCGAAACAGCCTTCCCTGTAGCCTGGAGGGTGGACTTACAGCTGCTTGCGCCAGTACAGCACCACCCTGAGTTCTCTGCCCCCCAGTGGACCAAAGCCGTGCCCTCTCCAGCAAGGCCTGGATCTCCGACCTGGGGCTGGTGGCTGCTCCTTACACCCGAGACTCCCTCATTCCTTAGAGTTCCAGTCCCTCAGTACTCCAAAGCCCGACTAAACTTTCCCTGTTCAAATTATTGTGCAGTTTCTCTCTGCCAGTGGGACCCAGACTGATACACCCACATCACCCAGCGCCCAGCCCTCAGGCTCTGCCGAGGCTGTGCTGCCGTGGATTCTAGGAGGCGGGGGTGCAAGACCAGGTACGTAGCCGGTGCTCAGGAAAGCATGAATGAGTGGATGATGGGGAATCCCGACATCCTCAGAGTGGTGCTCACAGCATTCTGTCATCTCGGACCGACTCTGCCCCCTCCTCCAGACTCCCACTCACCTCCGCCTCCCCACCCCACCCTCCCCGCACAGCACTTTGCCATCTTGGACCCAGGCCCAGAGAGGCAGGAGCCCGCCCAAAGCCACACGGATCAGTGGTACAGTAGGGCTCCGGCCAGGGCCTCCCAGGCACCAGCCGTTTCTCGGCAAGGAAGGAAGACTTGGGGCTTGGGCCAGAGGCTGGTCTGTAGAAGCTGGCCTCACTGAAGGAAGCGAAAGGCTGAGCTGGGGACCAGAAATGAAGGAGGACTTACTTTGTTGCTACTCATCTCTCTCTGGCGTCTGCTGAGGGGCAGGGGCCAGCGTCCTGCAGGTGGCCCAGGGGGCCGGGGTGTGGGCTCACACCTGCAAGTCACAGAAAGGGTTATGGCCTGCGTGCCCTCCCCTAGGTCCAGCTTGTCGAAGACTCCACCCTCCCCACCCCTGCCAGCTCTCCTCCCACCCACGACTTCAAGGCTCAGGGCTGTATAATTTGCAGATGGAGATACGGAGGCGGAGAAAGGGCAGAACACCAAGGTCCCGGGGCCATGTGGTGGCAGAACCCTTATTCCTTTCCTGCCCCTCACTCTCTTCTCCTCAGTGCTCTCAGCAGGGGCTGCCCCACACCCTGGCTCTTCTAGGCAGCTGGTTCTCATGCTGGGTAGCCTGCCCCCCACCCAGCAGGAACCCCATTCTCACCGCTACTCGAACCCCTGCTTTAGGTTCCTGTGGCCTTGGAAGAAAGCAACATTCCTTGTAGGTCCCCAAACTTCTCTGCACTGCACCCTTGCAGGTCTTGCACAAAATGTCTGAAAAACCCTGCCTTCCTGCACCCTGCTCACGCCACCCACTCATCCCTCCAACCTGCGGCGGGCCAGGAACTTCCCCCAAGTGTCAGCTCCCCACAAGGCTGAGCGCTCCCCCGAGCCCTCACCGCATCCTCTGCGGTGCCTCCTGGAGATGGGTACAGGAGGATGGCTGAATGACTTCAGGGATTTCCGAGTAAGATCTGAGGGGTTAAGGGCACACAGTCTCATCTCTCAACTGGCTATAATCACAGCCCTACCCTCAGAGGGTGCGAGGGATCTTCAGGGGACAATGCAGCCTGATGTGCCTCGGACAGCCCTTCCTTCCAAGCCCAGATCTGCCCCTAGCTCCCCAACCGGCACCCACCCTCCCAGGACCCAGCTCTTGTCCAGATCTCAGTTTCCCCACCTGTCAAATGGAAACAAGCACTCGTGTCCAGACGCCTCCAGCAGATTCAAGCCCGGAGGGCACTAAGGTTGGGAGAGCGCAAAGGGAGAAGCTGGGGCTCGGGGCTGCCCAGCTGTCTTCCCTTCCAGCGGCCTCCCAGCTCCCGCTACCATCTCCGCCCCCTGACCTAGCTGCTGTTTACTCCTACACTGCCACCGGAATAGCCGGAGAACCTCAGGCCAAAGAAGCCTTCCCCCATAGGCGGCTCCTGACTGGTTAGGTCCTGACTCCGCCCACTATCCAGGCCCGGTTCCCTCGCCTTCCGAGCCCCGCCCCCCTGCCTCCCAGCCAGGTTTCAGATTTCGCCCTGGCCCGCCCTCACAGCCAGTCCGGGAGGCCCTGGGGCTCTCACCGGGTACAGATCCGAAAACCGAGGCTCATCACAAGGGAGGAGTAGCCTGTCTTTGGAGGCAAAGCCCCATCAGAGCAAATAACAAGAGTCCAGAATTCCAGGGTCGCCCCCATCAGTCCTGACGCCTCTGGCACTCCAGGCCCTTGCCGGTCCAGCTGGGCCAGCAGCCGCTCAGAGCTGAGCCTCGTCGTCACTACTCTTGCCTCCAGATGGCCCTCGCTCCGGACACCCAAGCGCACGCCAGTTCCCAGGCCCACCTCCGACTTTCCCACCTGTGCCTGAGCGGTGCCCTCAGCCAGGACCAGGGTCCCCCTGGTCGGTCCCCCTTGTCAGTCCCGTCACAGTCCTGCTCTTGAGAAGGCCATGGTCAGTGCAGCATCTCAGGTTCAAGTGCGAATCCTGGTTCCACCACTTACTGGCTGAGGGGCCTTGGGCAAGCCGTGGACCTCTCTCAGCCTCAGTGTCCTCATCTGTGAAATGGGAGTAATGACAGTAGGTCACTTCAGGGGAGGGTGGAAGGATTCAAGCCCGTCTGGCAAGGAAGGCACAGGGTTTGCAAGTGCTAGGTCAGTGCCAGCAGCTGTGAGTCTTGCTGTTATTCCTTGTTCAAGGCCTGCCTCACGGAGTTTGCCAGCGAAACATTCCCCCCTCCTCTGACCCGTAGCCCAGCAACGTCACTCCCATCAGAAATGTGTGCCAACTAAGCATCACCCACTCACTCCATCTTCCTGGCAACACTGCATGGTAGGGGCTCTCACTCCCCATTTCACAGACGAGGCGACTGAGGTTCAGAGAGGCAAAGTGCCTTGCGGGGCTGTCCAGAGCCTGCTGGGAAGACTTGTTTGCAGGGAGCAGCCCAGGGCTGAGGTTAATGGGGTCTCCCTCAAGGAAACCCCAGGGCTGGAATGGGCCAGAGGCCTCACGTGTGTGCCCATCCCCTGGCCTGGCACACGAGGCAGGCCTGTTGGGGAGTGACTCGCTCAGGCTGGGGAGACCGCAGCCCAGAGCACTGGGCGGGGGTGTGGAGTCATGCCCACAGCGGGCCCTGCAGTTGGGCTGAGAGCGCGAGGTAAGGGGAGGGCAGCGCACCTTGCCCTCAGTTCAGGGGGGGGCTCTGCTTCTCCCAGCCCGGGGAGTCCTCCTGCAGGGTCGGGACGCCCCCACGAGCGGCGCGGAAGGAAGCCTTCAGGGAGAAGGGGGAGGGGGTACCTAATTCCCAAATGGGGGTCGTCGAGCCAGCGGGTCCGCTTGGGGAGGGGGCGAGTCGCCCTCTGCATCCCCACTGCGCTGACCCCACGAACTCCCGCACTCCGGAGGTCCCGGAGTCCTCGCCCCAGCTGAGAAAAAATAGGAGGTAGAGAGCGGCCGGGTCCCCGGGCTCCGATGGTGTAGACAGAGACAGAAGGCCCCCGCGAACCCCGCGACAGCCCTCGGGCACCGAGGACCGGGATCTCCGGTCCCGGTTGCCTAAAGAGTGGGTCTATGGCAGCCCCTGGGGCACCCACATCATCACTCCCCATCCCCGAAAGCTCCCAACCTCCCCCCGGGGCTCAGGCAGTGCCCCAACCCCCGCTGCCCGCCCCCGCGCGGCGCCTGCTCACCTCCCCTGGGGAGCGCCCGGCCCCCCGTGGCCCCTGAGCCCCCTCACATGGTGCCGGGAGCTGAGAGCCGGGTCCGCGCTGCTCCGGCCGCCCAGGCCCCGCCGCAGCCCTGGCCCGCCGGGTCCTAGCGCCGCAGCTCCCAGCTCCCTCCTCCCTCTCAGGCCTGGGAGGAGGGCGGAGCCTGGGGGCGGGGGACCCCACAGCTGGCTGGCTCCGCCCCCCGGCGATGCCCGGAAGGGGTTGGGGTAAGGGCAAGTGACCCTGGGCTAGGGCCACTTGAGGGGCTCGCTTACTCCCCTGGGCCCTGTAGTGGCGATGAAAATAACAGCCTTCCAGAGCCCTTCGGTGTGGATCATGCCCGTTTCTATCTCGCTTTTTCTCACCACGACCAGAATGGGGAAACTGAGCCCCAGAGCACACAGCGCTTGGAATCACTTGAGTTTTTCCCTGGTTACCTCCACCCGGGCCCTCCAGAGCCCTGCACCCAGGGTCACGCAGTCACCCTGAATAAACTCAGGGTCCCCCTCGGACCCTGAAGTCCAGCTCTGCCTTCTCTAGCTGTGTGGTCTTGGCACATTCCTTTACCTTTCCCCAGCCCGCCTATGGAATTAAAAATGTTATTGACTTCTTACGATTTTCGGGGTATTCATCATATCATTTTATGGGACGGTGAAAAATAACCAGAAGCCGCGATAGGGGCCCGGTGAAATAAACAAAGGTCCAGCCCCGCTAAGTACACGGGGGGATGCGGCTCGGTGTGCACTGTCGGAAGAGTCCGCCGGGATATTTACAGGGTGTTGAAGTGAAAAGAGCAAGGTGAAGAATGGCATCTCTACAATCCCTTTGGAAAACAAAGATAGGAAAACGTGCGTTCCCTTCATGCATACGGACCCTGGAGAAGTTTTTGAACATGTACACAACGAAATTCAAAGCAACCTCGCTTGACAAAATACTTCACTGGAAACAGCCCATGTACCGACAGGAGAATGGAATTTCCTTACACGATGGTATGTTCACAGCGTGGAATATTAAATAGCAGGGGAAAAATGAGCTAGAATTACAAGGATGAATCTTAGAGATATAAGGAGTGGAAAAGGCAAGTCTCAGGAGACAAATGAACAACATGATACATTGTTTGTGCATATTGCAGGCAGTAGGCCACCTCTCATAGCCAGGGACAAAAGATAGCTTTCGTCTATCAGAGTGATTAAAGTTTTAAAAGCAAAAGTCAAGAATACAGTTGTCTCCGTAGGGGAGGTAGGGAGGTAACACAGGGGTGTGGATTTCTAGTAGGGTCTGATCACTTGTGCGTACCACGGTATTTAAAAAGAAAAAAAAAAGGAAAGGTGAATGAACATAAGAAAATGCCTTTTGCCTGCCATGGTGATTAAAGTGTTAACAGTGGCTATTTCTGGAATGGTGAGACTACGGACTGCTTTTTTTCTCTTTTGGCTTAACTGTATTTTCCAAAAATTTTAAGATAATGGTTACACAATGTTTTTGCATTAATTTTTTTTTTTCCCTTGCTGGCGTGGTTCAGTGGATTGAGTGCCAGCCTGCAAACCAAAGCATCTCCAGTTGGGTTCCCTGTCAGGGCACGGGCCTGGGTTGCAGGCCAGGTCCCCAGTAGGGGGCGTACGAGAGAAACCACACAGTTTCTCTTCATCTCTTTCTCCTTCCCTTCCCCTCTTGCTAAAAATATATAAATAAATAAAATCTTTAAAAAGAGATTTTATTTATATTTTTTAAGGTTGTATTTATTTATTTTTAGAGAGGGAGGAAGGGAGGGAGAAAGAGAGGGAGAGAAGCATCAATGTGCAAGAGATACATTAATCAGCTGCCTATTGCACGCCCCCAACTGGGGAACCTGGCTCACAACCCAGGTATCTTCCCTGACTGGGAATCGAACCAGCGACCTTTCGGTTCACAGGCTGGCATTCCGTCTACTGAGCCACACCAGCCAGGACTAAAAACTTATTTTTAACTTATCACAAAGAAACTGCATATATGATTCCTTTAAAAAATATATAACTATCAATGCATTTATGCTTGTCAGTGCACACAGGGGGTGTCTAGAAGAATCTATGTAGCCTACTGGCAGTAGTTTCCCCTGCAGAATGGACGCCAGGTGGAACGGGTGGGTGCTACCTTGACTTTTTGCTTCATAAACTTCCAGGCTGTTTGCACTGGACTAATTTAACAAATTAACACCACTTTGTTTTTAATTAAAACAAAAGAGGGCGGAACAAGGTCCAGCTTCCAGGCTGTAGAGAAAAGGCCCACCAGGTAGCCGGGGGCAGTGGGGAGGGCCAAGGGTGGACTCGAGGCTTCCTGTCCCTCTGGTATCCACTTCCATCTGCTTCCTGCGCCCCAGCCCCATGCCCACCCCTGGCCCTCCCTGGCCGCCTGCCGGCACACTCAGCCACAGAGCAGGGGCCACCAAGCAGGAAGCCTGATGAACCAGGCTGCTGGGGCTCACAAAAGGGGAGCCCTTTGCCAGAGGTCACCCTGCAGGCTGGAAACTGCACGAGGGTGGGCCATCCTGTCCCCAGCCCTTCTTCTGGACCCAGGCCAATGCCCTCTGGAAATAAGGGCGCAGCAGCCCGGCTCCTGAACCAAATCCGGACCTGGAGCTCCCCACTCAGGCCTGTGATGTCTCTGGGGCCCAGGTGTACTCCAGGAGGTTCTTCCATGGGGGCTGGCTTACTTCTCCTGGGCCGTGAGGAACAGAGTGAGAAGTTAAATGGAATCCCTCCAGCCAAGCTGCTAAATCCCTCAATTCGAGCAGCGTGAGGTGTGAGGAAATGATTCTGTTCTTGTCTTACTGGGAATTTAAACTTTGAAACATTCCAGGCCTGCATCAGTGCCTGTATATTCATCAAACCTCCAGATAACCCTCGGAGAACGCCCTGAAGGGCTAAGGAAAGGAAGTCGTGAGTCCAGATCACGTGACATCCTGCATCCTAGGCAGCAGTCATGGAGGATTACCATCTGGCACCAATCCAGAAGCTAAGAATGCAGAAGTGATTGTTCTCAAGAACGTACTTTTTACTGCAAGAACCCTCAGCCTTTCTTTCTTCTCTGGAACATTCTGGGTGTTCCAGTTTGCAAGCCCTGAGACTCTTGAATAAATGTTTTATCATTTATTTCTCGCCAAAGCCTCCAAACTCTTTTTGAGTTCCTGCGACGGCCCCAAGAACAGTAACAACCACTTCAATAATAATGACGATGCCAACAGGTCCGCCCCAGCCAGTGCGTGTGGCTCAGTGGGTCGGAGCCTCATCCTGTAAACAGAAAGGTCTACACACCTAGGGTGCGGGTTTGGTGCCCAGCCGGGGCGCGTATGGGAGGCAACCGATCAATGTTTCTCTTTCACATCAATGTTTCTCTCTCTCTCTTTCTCCCTCCCTTCCCTTCTCTCTAGAATCAACTAAAAAAAAATTTTTTTAAAGGAAAACAACAGCTCCCATGTGTCGTGTGCTTTCTCCTGTGATAAGCACTTGACAGACATCCTTAAAATTCATCACTGAATCCTTAAAATAACCTGGGAGGTTAGCCCCCTCCCTAGAGGGAGAAGTGAGACTCAGAGTATACACAGGTGCCCAAGCTGAATAATGACAAGCCATTCTGCTCCAGAGCCCCGGGTCTGCCCACGCGCATGCCCGAGCCTCAACGGATGAGGGGGGCTGTGGCCAATCCTGGTGCTCCCCCCACTCCTGAGCCAGCCCCCTATGGTCTGGGGGAGACAGCCTCTGCTTCAGCCCTGTGCACCCCAGGGTGGGGACCCTGGGTGTGACCTTCTTCTGGCCCCTTAGCGATCTTTGCAATGTTCGACTCCTGGAAAGAGTCCTCAGAGGTCTCCTCGCCTGCCACCCCAGCTCCCAATTTACAGAGACTGAAACCAGGGCCCACAGAGGGGAGAGGACTTGCCCCAAACTCCCCAGGGGTCCTGGGCAGAGCCAGGGTGGGAGCCAGGCCCGTGGACGCCAGCCTCTCTCCCTCTGGGCAAGAAGGAGCCCCGGGGATGGGCGTCTGAAGAGAGGCCGGTGAGGGCCACAGGCCGGTGATGGCCGGCACACAGTGGCCGCTCATGAGCACTTGTTCCCAGGACCCGGGCGGTGGACCTGGAACCAGGGAGTACCTGGTTCTTCATGGGCACAGACAGGAGTGGTCAGACTGGCCTGGGTGACCTGGACATGGTGCCTGTCGACACCGACGTGAACCTGGCTAGAGGTTCCGGGCCCGGCACCCAAGTTCCTTCTGAGGAGAGAGGCCCCTTAAGACACCTGGAGGCTGTGAGGCTCACCTGGCTTCCCCTCGGCCGCAGGAGGAGGTAGGAGCTGGGCTGCCGAGGGGAAAAGGAGCCAGGGTGTGGACACAAGCTCAAAGAGGGGCTGCACACCAAGGTGCCCCCCACGAAGAGGAGGCTCCCACCCCAACTCACCCTTTTCCCCCCGGAAGCGGCAGGAACTGCGGTGGCGGCAAAGCAGGTGCTCACCATGCCTCCTGCAGGCGGGGACCTGTCACCAGCCCGGCCAGGAGTCATCTGCAAGAAGTCTTCCTGGAGGAAGTAATTGGTGGAGGGTTCCTACCAGGTCACAAAGCCCAGAAATCTGGGCCAGCCCAGCAGTAAGCACCCCACCTGGGAGCAGGGCCAGGGCAGATGCGCCTGTCACTGGGCCGCAGGGTGAAGCTAGTAAATGCGTGGGGTCAGAGCGGGAGGAGGCGACCACGGGGGGGGGGGGGCGTTGAGTTTGAGTCCCATCAGGACAGTGGGTCGTGGGCCGTGCGTGGAGCCCAGGATGAGGCTGTGAGGGGGAGAGCTGATGGGGCTGGGAGTCTTTTTATTTATTTATCTATTTTCTTTTTAAGATTTTATTTATTTCTTTTTAGAGAGGGGAAAGGAGGGAGAAAGAGGAGACACATCAATGTGTGGTTGCCTCTCACGTGCCCCCTACTGGGGACCTGGCCCGCCAGGCATGTGCCCTGACTGGCTCACAGGCCTGTGCTCTATCCACTGAGGGGCGCTGTGGAGGGGGCGGGGGGCGGCGGCGTGGCTGGGAAGTCTTCATGCCCATTTGTCACCACCAACCGTGAGTGACAGCTGGGTGAGCAGAAGTGACCCCATCCCTAGGGACAGGCACTTCACAGGTGACTGTACAACCCCATGAGGCGGGGACGGCTTTTTACAGATGAGGAAACTGAGGCCCAGAGAGAGACACTCATCTGCCAGGGCCCCACGGCGGGAGGCAGAGGCCGGGTCTGACTCCAGGGGCCTCCCTCCATCTGCAGCCGGTTCTTACACCAGCCCTCCGCCTGCCTGGCCACATCCCACCCTTCCTTCTGCCTGACGCCTGCTCAGAGACGCCACCTGGGCCAGGCCAGCTGCTGAGGTTTGGCTCCCTCCCACCACAGTGCCCCCTCCCCCGCCCCCCTCAGGGCTCTCCTCCCTCCTCCCCTGTTTGCAGAACCTCCAGGCTGGCCTGACACTGGGGAGGGGGAGGCAGGGCACAACAGGCAGTGAGTGCTGTGGCCCACGGGCCCAGGGGCCAGATCTCCAGACCCTCTTGAGAAGGTCACCCAGACTCCCTGGCATGACCAGCTTCATCATTTGTGGGGTCCTGCGAAGTGACAATGTACAGCTCCTTAAAACAAAACAAACAAACAAACAAACACCCCGCCCAGCCCTGGCTGGTGCGGCTCAGTGGACTGAGCACCAGCCTGCAAACCCAAAGGCTGCCGGAATTGCGGGCCAGGTCCCCCGGCTGGAGGCGTGGGAGAAGCAACTGATGGATGTTTCTCTTCCTTTCTTCCTCCCTCCCTTCCCTTCTCTCTAGAACTGAATTTTAAAAATAAACTTATTAGAATTTGAAGCAACAGCAGAGCATGAAGCTAAGCAAGCGTGGGGTCCCGGGGCGGGTAAAGGCACAGGGCACGCACCCGTGAAGCGGAGGACTCCTGGGCCTGGAAGCTGGAGCCCCAGGGCTCCGTTCCAGCTGAGGGCCTGAAGTCCGGGAACTGGGTCCCACGTTAGTCAGTCCCCCAGTCCCCAGGCAAAGGGCGGTAGCGCCAGTCTCTTGGTTCAGGGCCCAGACAGTCAGGCTCAGCTCTCAGACCCGGGGCTCCACCCCGGCTCAGCCTTGTGGCTTCGCCAAATCTGTCAAGTGGGCTAACATGAGCCCCCTGCCAGGGTGGCTGCAGGCCCTTGCTATGTGCTGGTGGGTCGGCTTTTCCCACGTCACAGGTGAGGAAACTGAGGCTCTGAGAAGGCAAGCCTCTGGCCTGCCCCCTTCTCCCTGCCTTCCTTCCCTGCAGTACAACCAACTCCGGAGTTAAGAGGAAATTTAGCCCCGGCCGGTGTGGCTCGGTAGGTTGGAGCATTGTCCCGAGACCCAAAAGGTCACGGGTTTGATTCGAGGTCAGGGCGCATACCTAGGTTTTAGGTTTGGTCCCTGGTCAGGGCACTGGAGGCAACTGATCGATGTTTCTCTTTGTTCCTTCCTTTCTCTCTAAAATCAATAAATATATTCTCGGATGTAGGAAATTTAACTGGCAAGGAATTTGACCCTGGACAAAAGACACGGGGTGGAGGAATTTCCTTCCCACCCTGAGCTGTCTCCACCCTAGCCGGGGCTAGGCTCTCTGACCTGGTTTTTGAGGGGGGCAGGCTCTTGGGGAAGGAACACGCAGGCAGACGAAATGGGTTAAGAGAGGGGCCCCAGGACTCGGTCTGCCCTCGGATCCACAGGTTACAGGACCGTGACGGGGAGAGCAGCCCCGACTCTGACCCCCAGACACAACCACACCGGAGACAGGGTTCCAGAAAACGCGGTTTACCCGTCTACGCGAGGTGGCCCTGGCAGTCACAGTTCGAATGCACCTTTGCTCAACGAACCCCGTGCTCTGGGCTGCCCTGACCGGGGCGCCCAGCCGAGGCAGTGCGGCACCCAAAGTGCGTGGAGGAGGAGTGTGGAGAGGGAGAACCAGGGCCGGTGCAACTTCGAAGGTTGCAAAGCTGGTGAGTGGGGGGAACATCGGCCCTGAGGGCAAAGGCCACTGGACAGACCCCCGAGGTGGGATGATTCAGATTACTCAGGGAGTCCCGAGTAATCGATTACTCAGGGATGGGAGGAGGGTACAAAGGTCACCACGCCCCCTCCCCCTTCAAGTCTGGAGGCCCACGACGGCTCCGAGTGTGCCTAGGTTCACCTGGCATGTGGCAGGGGCAGGATCCACAAAATAAATATTTCTGGTGGGGTGTGAATAGGACAGAGGCCTGGCGAAGTCACTGTGGCCGGCTGGGCCTCGGGCTACTGGGCCCTCCAGGACGGGTGGGCGAACACGATGGGCCTCCTCCTGGCCCAGCGGGAGAACACCGCCTTCTCCGTGATGAAGCGGTGGGCGCTGCGGGGCGCCCGCTCGTGCGCCAGGTACATCTGGCACTCGTCCAGCCGGCCCTTCTCGAAGTAGTGGTAAGGCACTGAGGGGCGGTTCTTCTCCCTGTGGGGCGGGCGGGGGACAGGGACAGGGACAGGTGTGGGGCACCAGGACTTGCCCACCTCCCGCCAGACCCCGCACCTAACTCAGCCACCCTCACTGGGCACTGCGGGCCCACGGAGTCCCGTCCCTGGTCTCAGAGGAGGCCAGATCAGGCAGACACAGGGCAGGGCAGCTTCCCAAAGGCCAGTGTTCGAGTCCTGGCTCTGCGTCTTGCCAGCTGGCTGAGGATAAGCCTAGACACACCCCGTAACCCTCAATAACCCATCTGTAAATCGGGGACGGTGATATCCACCTTCTGGGCTGAGTTCGTAGGTCAAAAAGATGAAGACAGCCCTGGCCAGGTAGCTCTCTGGTAAGATGGTTGTCCCGCTATGCCAAGGTTTCGGGTTAGACTCCCAGTCGGGGCACATACAAGAATCCACCCTGAATGCATACATAAGTGGACCAACAAACGGTCTCTGCAAATCTCCCAGCGAATCTCTGTGGCCCCTGCCACCTCGCCCACGCGCTCAACAAATACGTCCCAAAGAGAAGAGAGGGTGAACACGTGGGACCCTTTGTGAACTTGACAGTTACCGCAGTATTGAAACATAACATTGGAAGGAAAAACTTAGGTGTGATATGTCACTGACATGCAACTGGCCCCAATGTTGCAGTAAGTACTTCCGCAGGCTGTTCTCTACATAACTATTTCCATAACCTTCCGGAGAAGGTCCGATTATTTTCTCTCCTTCCCAATAAGGAAACAAAGGCTCTGGGAGACTGCGTGCCTGGCCTAAGGCTGCACTGGCAGAGTGGGGATGGGCACCAAGCCCGTCCCAGAGGCTGAGCCCCTTCCCCCTGGGCACCAGCTCCAGGGACACCTGTGCTTCCGCCACTGCCCACCCGGAGGCTGACACACCCTGTGCCCTACAGCTCCCAGATCCTCGGGCATGAGGCCCACAGCCCTCCCGGGCGCCCCCAGCTCGCTCCCCTCCCGCCCAGGGCCTGGCCGGCCTGACCTGCAGTAGCTGTCGCTGACCATTCCGTACACCACGATCTCCTCGCACAGCTCCAGGGCGAGGATCATGGTGAACCAGCCGGTGCTGAGAAAGGAGCCCGACTGCCTCCTAGCAGGGAGAGGAGACAGAATCAGCCCGGCTGCCTCCCCCCCCCACTCAGAGCACGAGGCCTGCGGGGGCCCTAGCTTCAGCTCCTGCAAGGCACTGCACTGGCTCCCCTCCCGGCCAAAAGCCACTCCCCTTGACCCCTACTGGAGAGGGTCCTGGAGGAGGCCGGGGAGGGGACAGAGCCAGCCCAAGGCCAGCAGCGGCCAAGAGGGAGCGCTGGACACAAACCCAGGACTGCTGGACTCCTTACCACCCGCAGGACTTGAGCGAACAGTGTGGGGGGCCTGGCCACGCACTCTCTGGATCTAAGGGACTGAGCCTGGGGGGACAGCGGGGGGCAGCGGAGCCGTGGCTGAAAGTGGGAAGGGGGGTTCCCTGGAGTCCAGTGGTCTTTGATTCGATGCCTGCACCTGCCCTGGGGTGTCCGGTTGTGCATGAAGCTCTCTGAGCCTTGCTGACCCACCTGCGGAGCAGGGATCATTACAGGCGGCCACGGGGTGGGAACACCGTCAGCCCGGCAGCCCCCCAAGCCTCCACACCTCACTCGGAACGAGAGGCCGCGTGGCCACCCCTTGTTCCACGCTCTCCACGCTCTCAGGACACCAGCACCGGTCACTCTCCCAGCTGAGAGCCACTCACCTCCACCTCTAGAGAAGCATTATGAGGTGGTTCATTCCCTCACACTGGGCACCTCTCAGGCCCTGTGCTGGCCAGGAAGCTGCCACACTCAACGCTAACATTCTCAAAGGAGGAGGCAGCTGGGAGAGAACCACTGAGAAGACAAGGAAACAAAGGAATGAAGAGTGTCAGGCGGGAGGCGACCGTCAGATGGGGTGGTCAGGGAGGGCTTCTCTGAGGAGGTGACATTCCACCCAGGCCTGAATGGCAAGAAGGAGTCAGTCACGGGGAGGCTTAGGGGAAGGACCGCTGCAGGCAGAGGCATGCAGGTGAGAACCGGCGTGCGTGTGTGAGCTGGAGGCCTGGACAGCCAGTACGGCTGGAGCTGGGCAGGCGGGAGCCGAATCATACAAGGCCTGTGGGCCAGGGGAGCGGAGGAGGCGGGAGTCTGGACTTTATTCTCCTTGTGAAGAGGAGTTCCTGTAGGGTGGAGGGCAGGGGACTGCTGGGGTGAGTTCACTGGGGTGGCTGGAGCTCGGACTGCAGGGGCAGCGGGGACACCAGCCAGGCAGGTGCTGCAAGGGCAGAGGAGGGTGGTGGCACCTGTCAGAGATGCAAGACCCCAATGTACGTGGCAGGTGATGGCACAAGGGGACCTGGGTGGAAAGCTGGAGGCCGGTCATTGTATTTCCTGAGCTGCAGGGCAGGGGAGGAGCCCACAGGGGCGGGGAAGGCCAGGATAAAATGAGATGTTGAATGCAGAGCGCTTAGCCCAGGGCCTGGGGCGTGAGGGGGGCTGCTCGTGCTGTAACCATTCCTTTTCTTTTCTGGAAGGGACTTCAGAGACCAGTTTGGATCTCAGGGCACCCCTTGCAGAGGGTAGGGCTCCCTGACACTGTCCCTACGCTGGTCAGTGCTCACGAGGCCCCCAACCGCTCACCGCCATTCGGGATCCTTGATCTTTGGGATAATGTGATGAACAACAGTCTCTCTGACTCCTGCTCCCTTGGAGGGGGCAGGGCCACCCCGCCTCCCTCTCCGCTGACCCCGAGCCAGCAGGGAGACACCAGCAGGGAGACCCCGGCAGGCAGGCCAGCTCACCGGTTCTTGCCCGTCTCGTCCTGGAAGACCTGGTCGCAGTAGGTCATCATGCGCTCGGTGAAGGTGTACACCTGCAGGCCCGGGTACATCCTGGTGAGCTGCAGCAGCGTGCGGTAGGTGCGGCCGCCCAGCGTGCGGTCCATGCTCTTCCCCTGGCCCCACACCACGTAGAGCGTGTCGCGGGCCTGCTGGAAGTAGTGCGAGTAGTTGCGCAGCAGCAGCGGCACGGTCGTGTGCGAGACCACGCGCAGGGTGCTGCGCTGGCCCACGTCCACCTCGAAGCCCACGGTGGGTGCCTGGTTCATGCGCAGCACGCACTCAGCACCGTCGATCTGGGCGCCCAGGCCCGAGCCCAGCATCTGGCCGGAGCTGGACACCACGGCACAGCTGCGGCAAGGCCCTCGGACCAGCGGCTGCGGGGGAAGGAGAGACAGAGAAAGAGAAAGGTGTGGGCACCTAACTTCTGCCCCTGCTCCTCCCCCTAGGGACACCTACTGACCTCACTCGACCCCTCTATCAACTCGGAGTACTTCATCAGCCCAGGTTACAGATGAGAAAACTGAGGCTGGGCAGGTGGCGCTAGCCGCAGAGCTGAGGTTCTACATTAACCACATTCATGGCCCTCGTCCCTTCTGCTGAGGCCCTAACAAGCCCTTGATCGTGAAGTCTTCATTAGATTCACAGGAGCAAATACTTATAAAACACTCGGCATGTCACCTGGCACAGGCTGGGTGTCTATAGGTGTTAAGTACACAGAAACCTCGGCTCTTCAAAATCACTCAGGTCCCTCCTTTGCCTGAGCCTCACTCAGGCGTCCACTTCAGTAAGTAAAAGCAGAGTCTTGAGGCCCTGGCTGGCGTAGCTCAGTGGATTGAGCGCGGGCTGCGAACCAAAGCATCGCAGGTTCGATTCCCAGTCAGGGCACATGCCTGGGTTGCAGGCCACAGCCCCCAGCAACCGCACATTGATGTTTCTCTCTCTCTCTCTTTCTCCCTGCCTTCCCTCTCTAAAAATAAATAAATAAAATCTTAAAAAAAAAAAAAAGCAGAGTCTTTAGTGCCCACGAAAATGCTGGGAATGTCTGGTTCCGAGCCGGAATCCCGACTGCCCCTCCCTGGCTGGATGGCCGTGGGCAAGTCCCTTTGCCTCAAGGAGGCTCAATCCCCTCATCTGTAAAATGGGGATAAAACACCATCCACTTGACCAGGCTGTGAGGATTCCATTAAAAATGCCTGCAGAGCCCTGGCTGGTGTGGCTCAGTGGACTGAGCACCGGCCTGAGAACCAAAGGGTCGCCGGTTCAATTCCCAGTCAGGGCACATGCCTGGGTTGTGAGCCAGGCCCCCAGTAGGGGGCGCGCAAGAGGCAACCGAACATCAATGCTTCTCTTCCCTGCCTTCTCCTCTAAAAATAAATAAATAAAATCTTTTTAAAAAATGCCTAGAGAGATGACTTCTCCGCCTTTCGGCTGAGATCAAGTGCAGTGTTTGTTCTTCCCAGTTTAAAAAATGCCTGGAGAGTCACAGCGCAGTGAGGGCCCAGCCCCCACCTCCTTCCCCTCCAAGAGGTGGAAGCTGAGCCAACCAGCCTACAGACACTCACTCAGGATCAGGGGCCAAGTCTCCCAGGAAAGGCCTGGCTCCCCACCCCCAGCCCCCGTGTCCTGGGGGGGTGGGGGGAGGAGGGTTTACAAAGCCCTGTAAAGGCTACGGGACATTAACTCCAGTTAATAAAAGACACGCTGTCCCATCCGCCTCAGGGACATTTCACATTTAACATGTAGACCGAAGAACTCGTGGGACCGCTTTCCAAACCCCAGCAACAAAGAACGAGACTTCCTTCTGCCCTTGGTATGAACTTCTCATAACGACTGGGGTCAGTTCAGATCCAAGGTCACCACCAGGACCCGGAGGAGTTCTGCCTGTCCTACACACGGCCTTTAAAATGTTGAATCCCTAATTTATAAAAACCAGCCCTCTCAACATTCAAGACCTGGATCCCCTGCTTCTCTTAACAAACACAGAGACTGTGGCCACCCTGAGCCCACGTGCCCAGGGGCTCTGAGTGCCCGAAACGAACACTGGTCACCACCACGCAAGACGGGACAGGGTCCACCCAGCCCACCCCAGCATTTGCCCCGCCCAGCCGAACTTGTGGGGCGCTGGAGTTTGTGCTCCCCTTCGCTGCCGTTTCTGCATCTTGATCAAATATGCAAATGGCACCCGTTCCGAACACTGTCCACGAATCCCCCAGGTGAGCCTGCACAGCAACCTTGCAGAGACAGGAACTTCAACCACCCTCCTTTACAGACGGGGAGGCCACGGAGACTCAGAGGCACGAAGACCTGAAACAAGTCTCCTTCGATCCACGGCTCCTGAGCACATACCTCCCTCTGACCGACACTCAGAACCGGGAGCTGCCCGCGCTGGGTGTCGGCGCTGGGTGTCGGCGCAGCACGCCTCCGGGGAACCTACCACGGGGGCCACTGAACCCAGGGGGAGGGGTGTGAAGTGCTCTGAACCTCACCCAGCAGAGCTGGTGTGGGGAGGTGGGGGCCGCAGGGCAGGGGCACAGCCACCACGTCGCCCTGGGCGCCAGCGTCCCTGCCTCCCCATGAGAGGGAGAGCTCTCGGCTGCTGGCGTGTCCGTGTCATCTCCATTCCCAGCAGCAGCCAGCACAAGGCAAGCCACTTTCAGGACACCAAACACACACTTGTTGGGCGAACGGACTGTGAGTCAACAGTTAAATCCGAAGAGGCACACAACGCACCTACCACCAGGACGTCACGTCCGTCTCCCCCGCTGGAATGGGAACTCCAGGAGGCCAGCCACCCCCAACCACCCGCCCCCAGCCAGCACTCAGCTGACAGCAGCCAGGCAGTATCTGTTGAATTAAAAACCCATTTCTGCCCTGACTGGTGTAGCTCAGTGGGTTGGACATCGTCCCACAGAATGAAAGGTCACTCGTTCGATCCCCAGTCAGGGCACACGCCTGGGTTGTGGGCCAGGTCCCTGGTTGGGGGCGTGTGAGAGGCAACCACACACATCAGTGTTTCTCTCCCTCTCTTTCTCTCTTCCTGCTCCTCTCTAAAAATAAAGAATTAGCCCTGACGGGCGCAGCTTGGGTTGACGGGCTCAATCAGTGGATTGAGTGCTGGCCTGCAAACTGATGGGTCACTGGTTCGGTTCCCAGTCAGGGCACATGCTTGGGCTGTGGGCCAAGTTCCCAGATAGGGGCACATGAGAGGCAACTGATTGATGTATCTCTTGCTTATCAATGTTTCTCTCCAGGGGCCAGTAGCACTCGCAGCGCAGACTTACAGCGGTGACAGGGCTCTGTGTCCTGCAAAGTGCCGAGCACACGAGGACAGCAGGGTGCCCATCAGCAGGGCACCCAGCCCCCTTCAGACCCTGGACTGAGGCTGCTCTCTTTCCCCCTCCCTTCCTCTCTCTCTAAAAATCAATAAATAAAATCTTTAAAACAAAACAAAATCCTTTCCCTCTTAACACGTGGGGCTGAGAGGTGAGCTGAATGCCCAATACCACACAGCTAGTAAGCAGAAGAGCCCAGCGCAGATCCAGGCTGACCTGGCAGGAGCCCGGTTCCCACTACCCTCCAGAGAGTTGGGGGGCGGGGGCACCCCAGCATCTTTGGTCTGCCCCCAACATGCTGCCTGGCCGACTCACCTTCCCATCTGGCACTCTGCTATACCCAGTGAAGTGCAGGGGCCCTGGCACGGTGGGCCTGGAGTTGGCGGAGAGGTGGGGGCCCAGGCAGGAGACCAGGCAGAAGGGCAGGTAGGCCCAGCAGCAGAGCAGGATGTAGGCAGCGGAGAAGCCCAGGGAGCACAGGATGATGAGCAGGAACCGACCCTAGGGAGACAGCAGTCATGAGGAGGGAGTGAGGGTCACCGGGGCTTCTACAGGGGGCTGCACCCCAGCCTCGTGGATCCGAACTCCAGCTCAGTAGCTTATAGAGCATCAGCAGAATCTCTAGTCCCCTTTCTCTGGGCTGCCAGGCTCAGACTACCAGAGGCTCTGGAGATGAGCCCTACATTCTAGAGAAAACCAATTTGGGGTGAAGTGTGTCACTCAAAGCCAAACTTGGGCAGGAAAAGAGCAGGGCGAGTCGTCAAAGTCCAGGCTGCAGCGTCCATGCCCTTGACCAGAAGCCTGGGCGCACTGTGCGGCCTTGGGTGAGCCTCTGTCCCTCTTCCGGCCTTTTTCCTTCTCTACAAAATAGGGGCCAGTAGCACTCGCAGCGCAGACTTACAGCGGTGACAGGGCTCTGTGTCCTGCAAAGTGCCGAGCACACGAGGACAGCAGGGTGCCCATCAGCAGGGCGCCCAGCCCCCTTCAGACCCTGGACTGAGGCTGCTGGTAGGCCCACCCCCAGCCCGTGGCCCCCTAGCCGACTCAGCGGCAGTCCACCAAGCTGGGGATCAGGATCCCGGCCGGCAGTCTCGGCGAGCAAGGAGGTCCAGAAGGGGATGAGAGAAGTGTCATTCAAGAAATGGTTTCAGTCACTGAGAGCTGCTGTCCTGGGGCTCTGCCTCCAGAAACCATGTGCCAAAAGCCACGGTGCCCAGAAGCCCTACTGGAGGGCTGGCCTTGCTGGCGGACTTTGTGATGCCCCCACCAAGCCTTCAAGGCGGGGCAGTCTGGTTGGGCAGGGAAGGGGTCACCACTCAGGGCGGCCGTCTTGGGCTGGGCTACTCTGGTGACCGCCTGTGTGTCTCTTGGCTCCGATTTTCTCCAAGCCTGTCCAGGCACAGGTCCCTCAGCCACGGTCAGAACCCACCTAGCAGCTGGCTGGTGCTCTTTGAAAACCACGGGTGGAAAAGCAGCTCCCACCATCCCCTCCAGGCACAACCCAACGGGCACAACCTTTTCTGCCCATAAACTGTATCACTTCTAAAAATAAGTCTGTGCGTGGCCAGCCGGGGGGGGACGTGGGGAAGTATGGCCCCTGAGGCCTCGGGCTCTGCCCCACACACGTCTCTGTGCACAAGGGACCCAGAGATCTCCGTGCAGGCAGTGGCGGTCGGCTCCCCGCACGTCCAGGGCTCTCTCCCACAACCAGGGGCTCCCGATTCAGGTCAGAAGCCGCTAAACTGAACTTTCACACCATAGCTCAGTCCCAGGCAGGTGGCTCACCTGGGTGACCTCCCAGATGCTCACAGGCGGCAGGAGTATTATCTCCATTTGCAGGGGAGAGGGGCAAGGCACTGAAACCAGAGAGGGTCCACCACCTGCCTGGGGCCACACAGCCTGCCAGATCAGAGCTGGACCTTGGGGCCAGGCTGCCCTTCTCCTCCAGCCCCATCAGAAGGGGTGGTCAGTCCTGGAGTGGGCGAGGCCACTGAGGCTGCTATGCCAGAAGCCACCTCAGCGTCCTTTGTGGACTTTTCTTTTCCCCACTTACCTGAGCTTTCATGCTGTCGCTGCCACTCAGCGGCAAGAGGGCTGCTGTCTCCAGGGCTGGGAAGGGGTGGGAGCCGGGCACCTGTCAAGACCCAGAAACTCAGAGCTGGGTCCCAGGCCTCAGAGGAAACCGCCCAAGGAAACTGAGGCAGGGGAGGGAGGGTACAGGCAGGGTCCAAAGCAAATGGCTTCTCAATACAGAAGTCCCCAAACTCCAAAAGCACTGGCCCCGTCCTTAAGGAGGCGGAATCCGTGACCTTTGGGAACTCTTCCGCTAGCCCGAATCCGATTGTGCAGAAGAGGAAGGAGAGGCAGAGAGGGGAAACCCTGAACTCAAGGTCACCCATCAAGTCTGGGTCAGAGAGAACCAGCAGCCAGGGGCTCCGACTCTCACCCACCCTCCTACCTCACTAAACGCGGGATACGAAGAGGCCTAGGGCGCGGGAGAAGGGTTTCCGCCCCTCTCCGGGTTTCCATCCCCCCCCTCCCCCAGCCGGGAGCTAACCGGGCGGGCAAGTTGGGACGCGTCGACCGCTCTCGATCCGCTACTCGGACCTCCATGGCCCGCAGACCGGGCGAGCCGGGCTGAAATCTGGAGCCCCGGGGCACAAGCGGCGCCTAAGCCGCTGCTCCTGGAAGCTGGAAGCCGAATGTGCGAATGTGCGACGCGGGGGGCGCGAGCTAAAGCTGCGAACTTGGGGAGGAGAACGGTGTGGGTGGGGCCTGAGCGTCAGGGGCGGAGCCTACGAGCGCCGCCTGCGCTGGTGAGGAGGGACCTGAACGGCCGGCCGCCTCCGGGTGAGGGCGGGGCCTGCGGGGCCGGAGGCGGGTCTCAGCAGCGGTCGGGTAGAGTCTGAGCTCAGCATCCTATTCCCTCTTTTCTGTCCCTGTCATTTGTCTAAGCTCCTCCCCCAAATAAACTAACAAAATAGGAACACTCATAGATGCAAAGAACATACAGACAGCTGTCAGAGGGGAGGGGTTGCGGGGCTGGGTGGAAAAGAAATTCAATTTAAAAATAAAAATAAAGTTCCCTCTGCCCAGGTTAGGAGTGGGCGACCGCTAGTGGAAAGGCCCACCCTAGAGGGTGTCAGAATTGCTCAGCCGCGGCTGCGGTCCCACTGGAGTGTCTCCATTTCTGAAACTAGGGGACGGGGAGGAAGATGAAACAGACTTGGAGCCAGGCAGCCCGGAGTTTCGAGCTGGCCGACCACTGAGCTTCCCTTCCCAGCAGACCCCTTCCCAAAGTGTCCTCCAAATCCAAGACAACTCAGCCCAGGGCACCTGCAATGCTGAAATGTGTCCCATCTGAAGGTTCCGATGGGGTCCCTTGGAGACTTCAAACTCAAGTGCCTCTAGGGGCCAGAAAGGTGCCGCAGGGACAGGTAGGCCTCTGATAGCAGGAAGCAGACTTTCTATCAAAAGTGGTTTTTAAAAAAGTTTTTATTTATTCATTTTTAGAGAGAGGGGAGGGTAGGAGAAAGAAACATCAGTGTGTGAGAGAAACATCAACTGGTTGCCTCTCGCACGCCCCCTACTGGGGACCTGACTCACAACCCAGGCATGTGCCCCAAGTGGGAAATGAACAAGTAACCTTTCGGTTTGCAAGCTGGTGCTCAATTCACTGGGCCACACCAGCCAGGGCTAACGTGTGTGTGTGTGTGTGTGTGTGTGTGTGTGTTGTTTTTTACAAAATACTTCATAGGCCAGAAAGCTCATCTTACCACCCCTGCCACACCCACCACCCTCCGCAGGGCCCCAGCCTGGGAACCAGCCTGTTCTCTTGCTCTGGCCTCATTTCAGAGCCCAGGTTCCCGTTTCTCAGACGCTCTGGTGTGGGCACAACCTCAGGGTATTCGTGTTGGGTGTCTGCACCCAACTCAGCCACTGTCCAAGCCTCCTCCGTTCCGGTGCCAGGCAGACTCCCCCAAGCCAGGGCTCCGGGCCCCTGTGCCTCTCCCCGTCCTGCTGAGGTGCCCCTGCCCCTAGCCCTCTTTTGAGCGCAAACCCTGCTGGTCTCCTCCGCCCCACCCTGGGCACACCTCAAGGGGAGTGGTCCAAGTCAGTATCCCTCTGGGGCCCCTCATTCACCCAAGGTTCGGCACGCAGTGGGTGCCCAAACCCAGGGCCCTTCAGCCTCCCCCGGGCCCTCATCTGTCAGGTTTCTGTTTTCACAGACACAACCCCTAGGGCACCGTGGTGAGAATGGATTCGTTCGTCACCCACTGTGGCTGGTGAAGTGACAGTTCCTTTCACCGAGAGGCAACTCCCTCCTTGCCAGGGCTACACCGAGACGAGACGGGGCGTGCCCAAACATCCTGGGGCCCTCAGTGCAAGTGCGGATGGTTCTCACCTCCACCGGGGTGCGGAGGGAGGGAAAGTCCCGCTGTTTCACAGGAAGCTCTTCCGTTTGGTTTTGGCAAAAGCCGCTGTCCTTCCCCTGCCCAAGGCCCTGCCCATTTTGGACTCCTGCTTCCCACTGAATCACCCTCCGCCCACCTGGGCCCCCCTTCCAACCCCCAATCCCACGGAGCTCATTTCTACCTCAGAGACTTTGCATTTGCCACACCCTCTACCTGGATTGCTCTAATCCCATGGCCAGCTCCTTCTTGTCATTCAGCTCAAGCGTCACCTCCTTTCAAGTACTGTCACGCACAGAAATCATCCTGTGTATGATGGTTCTCTTGCTTGTGGTCTACCCGCCTATTAGACTCTGAGCTCCCTGTGGGCGGTCAGGCCAGCCACGTCTTCGGGGCATTTCTAGCATCTGCACAGCGCCTAACACACACGAGGTCTGCTGAATGCACAAGCTAGGAAAGCCAGGAGTCCCAGGCCCCGTGAGTCATTCATTCCCCTGTCCCGCCTCAGGCCATTGCCAGAGACCCCCAGGGAGGGAGGTGCTGAGCCATCCTCACCTAGGAGTGCAGGACTCCGGGGCTCTGACTCAGCCCCGCGGATCCAGACCCCACGTAAATGTGGAGCCCAACCCCAGCTCCCCGCTGTGGCACCCGACCATGGCTGCGTTTCCACCACCCACCCATCTCCCGGGTGGGCGCTGAGCTGAGCACACCGGATGTCTCGACTTCCTGCTGAGTCAGAGCCAGAAATTCTCCCAGGCTTGTGTTAGCTCACAAAGATTGTCATAAAGGTCACCCAGGTATCTAGGGGTGATGTCAGTGACATATCTATATTTATATCTGTGTCTGTATAACTGTACCTCCAGGAACCCACACTCCAAGCCTGCAACGTAAGCTTTCCCTCTCCTGCCCCGTCCCCGTCAGCCATTTTTCCTCCTTTCCTCTGAAGACAAACGGAACGGCAGTGTTTGGGGTAGCTGAGTGGCTTTCCCAAGGTCCAGAGTCATCCAGTCCTGGCGGGGCAGCTCCTGGCCCACGCAGCCCCTCACCACACTCGCCCCATCCACTCTCAACGCCGACCACAGAGACGTGTTTCTTTATTTCAAAGGCCACGCTCTCTCACTGCAACCCTTTGCCGTGCTCTCAGCCTGGGACCTCCCCAGGGCTGCACCCAACCCCTCTGCTCTCAGTGTAGAGGTTAGAAACCGCCCCGCTCATCCTGTCCTTAGGAGGGGGCCCCTTCCCTGAGCTTCATGGTCCCATGCTCCTTCCCAAGGGTCCGTTTCACCAGTCTGCTTCTCTCACCGCCGCCACACTCCACACAGGGAGTTCTGCGGAGGCGAGATCTGTGCCTCTTGCTCCACCCCCAGGTCCCCCCAAAGCACAGCAGGTGCTCCATAAACACTGAATGAGTTCAGGAGGTCCATTTTCATCCTTCCATCTGACAGACTAGACCCCCGAGGCACAGAGAGGTATAGCACCTTGCCCCGGTCACACAGCAGGCCCCCAGAGCAGCACCAGAGGGAAGGCCAGCTTGGGCACCGTCAGACTGGACTGATGTCAGAGGCCGGGCTGCCGTCTCCTGGAGGAGGGACAGGGGATGATCAGCGGCTGTGCAGGCCCTTTGCTCCTCTGCTCCCGGTGATGTCTGTTTGGCCAGGGTCCTAGGTCTGCCACCTGCCCCCATTTGTTGGAAGAGAAAGGTGACTTAGAGCAGGGCAGAACTCACTCCAGGTCAACAGCAGCCCCAACACAGCGTGTCCCAGAGCTGCAGGAAAGAGGGGCTGCCCCAGAAGGAGGCCAGCAGGCCCCCCCTGAGCCGCGGGGGAGAGGGAGGGAGGCCCGGGTTCTCGGGCTGGCCTTGCCACTTACCCGTGCATAAGCCCACTTCAAGTCTCTGGGCCTCAGTTTCCCCATCTGGACGACAAAGGGCCTGAGCCGGAGCCTTCAGCCTCGCCTCTCTCCCACAGCATGAGGGCAGGGCTGCAGGAGCCGATGGGTAAGAATAGGGCTCCTGAATCTGAAAGGCATGGTTGAGTCCTTGTTCCAGCATTTACTGCTGAGTCAGCTTGCTCAGTCCCTTCATCTCCTGAGCCTCCAGTTCGTGGTCTGTAAAAAGAGAATAACAGCAATTTTTTTTTGAAGATGGAATGAGCTAATGTGGAGAATCCCTGGCACGATGCCGGGCACAGCGTCGCCCTCAGAGGAGGCTGTGTCTTATTAGTTAGGGAATTCTGCCCTCTGGAGGCCAGCCAGAGGAACAGCAGGTGAGGGGAGCCCGACCCGTTGCCCTGACCAGGCTGGAACAGGCCGTTCCGAACGTGCACCCTTTGTCCAGATGAGGAGCGCGCGGCCAGACGCTGATCACTCAGTGTGCGCCTCCACCCACTGGCAGAGGCGGCGGGCATAGACAGCGGGGCTGACGGTGGAGAAGGTGCGGTGGGGGTAGCGCAGCGTCTTCCACAGGTGCTCCAGCCGCTTGCAAAGCCCGTAGACGGTGGTGAGGTCCACGAGACCCAGGAAATAGCGTTGCTCCGGGCCGTCCAAGATGTGAAGGGCGTTGGGAGCGTCGGGCAGCAGCCGGCGGTTCTGAGCTCCGGGCTCATCCGGGCTCTGTGCCCCTTGTACAGACCTGGGGGCCGACGGGGAGTGGGGTGAAGCTACCACCTCCTCCAGGGGCCCCAGCCAATTGGCCCTGTAAGCGTGGCCAGGCTGCCCTAGGGTGGCACTGTGCCCTCACCCTGTGTGTGGGGGCACCTACCTGGCTGTGCGGAACAGGAGGCTGCCCGGACCCCGCTCATCCTCCTGGAGGCGCTGGAAGGCCATCAGCAGGCTGTAATCCAGCACATTGAGCTCCCGGAGGAAGGTGGTGTCCAGTTCCATCTGCCGCAGCAGCCAGCTCCGCTGGGGCCCTGCCAAAGCGTCAACACCGCTGCCTGAGTGCTCGCAGTGCTCGGGGCAAGGGGCTGAGGGCTCCACACGCATCTGCCCCAGGAGGGCAGGTGTCATTACTGCCCCTTTTCACAGATGAGAAAACTCAGCTGTGATTTGCCTTGGCCACCGAGCTACTGAACTGTGGAGTCAGGATTTGAACCCTGCTCTGCCTGACTCCAGGGTCTCGGTTCTTAATGACCTGGGCAGAGGGCGGTGCCCAGGACACCCTCCGAACTTCACCCTGGAGGGAGGAAGTGCAGGCAGCGACGGCCCCGTGGCTCACCCAGGTTGATGGTCTTGCCCTGAAAGTTGAGGTCCTTCAGCACCAAGACAAGGGGGCTGCTCTCCGGGGCCGGCTCCACCCATCGGCTCACCTCGCAGCCCTTGATGTCATACCTGGAGGCCAGGGGAGTGGGGGGCATGGCGGAATGCAGCTTTACACAGCCTCCAGATACACAGGGACTCTCACAATAATAAGGAACAAGCAAAAAAAATAAATAAATAAGAGCTTCCGCTAGGTAACTGCTCCAGTCCTCAGCACGACCCCATTCTGTTGTTGTCCCCGTATCAGAGATGAAGAGAAAGGATGAGAGGGTTTCTCTGACTTGCCTGAGACCACACAGTAAGTAAAGAGCAGAGCAGGGACTTGAACTTGGGTCTTTGGAAGCAGTCCAGGCTTTACCCCTGGCCTGTGCCTGATTCTCTGCACCTGGTCATGCCCGGGGGCGTCCCAGACACAGGGGTCTAACCCTAGGAGGCCCCGAGGGACAGTACTGGGGAGCCTCAGGGGGGGACTGAGTCACGACTGGGAGGCACTCGCAGCCTGGGCTTGAATCCCTGCTCTTCACACAGTAGCTGTGTGGCCCTCCTCGGTGGCTCCTCCACAAAACGGGGGTGAGAACCACTCCCACCCCTTTGAGGTGTTACGGGAATAAAGATTATGAAGGCAAATGTCTCAACACAGCGCCCAGTGCAAACGAGCGCTTGAGAGATGCTGGTCACGGGTATCGCGGTCTCCGACCTATTAGGAGGTCCTGGGGACGTCCTCTCTCCCTGGGCCTCCGTTTCACCATCTCCCTAGTGAGTGTGAGTCCTTCCGGTGGCATCTTCCGAGGGGGACTAAGGTCCCGCGAGGCCAACTCACCTCTCGGAGATGCGGCCAGCTGGATAGAAGACGCTCTGCATGATGATGAAGTATTTCTGGGGACAGCGGTGGGGAGTGAGGAAGGACAGGGTCTCACCCTGCAGCTGCCCCCTCTGGCCCGGAACCCCTCGAATCGGCCTCACCTACCTTCTTGCCCCGGGCCACCCGCAGACTGTGCACGCCTGGAAAGAGAGAGTGCCGGGTGAGGGGCCCCAACTCTAACACCCGGGGTCCAAATCGTCCTAGTTCCAGCTCCGGGCCACGCCTCCTCAAGCTCCGCAGCATCCCGATCCCGCCTCTCCAGCTCTGGCACCAGACCGCTCCGTCAGGAGTCTGAGACTCCACCACCTCCAGACTCTGCCCCAAAGATGCCCCGCCCACAGGTCCTCCTCAAGGATTGTCCAATCCCAACCCCGCCTCATTTGGGCCCCGCCCCGGCCCTCCTAATGCCACCTAGGAAACTCTGCCTCCGCCCGCAGTCAGATCGGCCTCCAGTCCCCTTCACCCGGCTAAGTTCAGTCACTCCGCGCCCCACTCCCCGGCTCCCTCCCTGCCCCCCACCCCAACAGTCCCTGGGTCCCTGGTCCGCCGGCCGCCGTACCCAGCAACCGCGCCAGCAGCGAATGCGGGTGCCGCTGCAGGTGCTGCACGTAGCGGGGCAGGTGGGCGAGCAGCACCCGCACCTCCCTGCGCCGCAGGGTCTTCAGGAAGAAGCGCTGGTCGTTCCTGGGGCGGGAGGCAGAGGTCACTGCCCAGGCCGGGTTGAGTGGCTCCCACCAGGCTCCCTGACCTCTCCTGTCCGTGTGTGGCTGTCTCCCCAGGGCCAGGCCCTTGCCCTCCGTTGCTTCTCCAGCCTCTATCTGGCTGGGGCCCTCCCTGACCTAACCATTCTAGTTCTCACCCCAAAAGCCACCTTCCACCCGAGGACACCACTCCCACCCGTTCCCCACCCCCTGCTGCCAGCTCACGACAGGAAGAAGCTGGCCTTGCTCTTGGAGGTGCTCAGGAACTGCAGGTAGGGGCTGCCGGGCCCCAGGGCGGCCCGATAGTCCTCCTCCACCAGGCCTAGGGAGTGGCGCAGCCAGGCGAAGGCCGGGCCAGCCAGGGTGCCCAGCTCGAAGCCCTGCAGGGGAGGAAGAGCAGCCCCAGGAGTGTCCACTGGGGCCCAGGCGTGTACAGTTGGCCCTTGTGCGGGAGGGCCAACCCTTCCTGAAGGCCTGGAGGCTCTGCACCCACGGGGAAACGGAGGAGAGAGAACTAAGACGGCGTCCGCCCCTCCTTGCCATGCTCTGAGGCTCCCTACCTCGTGAACCTGGGTCAGGACCTCGGAGAAATCCTCTTCAGTGGGCGGTCCCTGCAAGGAGGGGTAGAAGGACTCAGAGCAAGTCTCAGCTCCCCATTGGGGGACCTGGGATCTCCAAGCGTTCTGCACCTGGCGTCACCCCTTCCCCAGTTTGGGTCCTCCAGCAAACAGGGACTCCGCTGGGTGTGCCTGAGCGGGGCAGATGGGGCAGGCAGCCGGCCCCAGAGCTGGAGGGAGGATGAGAGTGACCAGAGGCTGGTCCCGGGTGTGTCTGCTCCACAGCTGGGTCCCTAACACCTGGCACATTCGCCCAGACCCACAGTGAAGCCGGAGGCCGTCTCAGGAAAAGGAGATGGCCTTGAAGCCAAGGGACCTGCCTGCCTCGGCCTGGGAGAGGCAGGGGCAGAGGCTTCCTGGAGGAGATCCGTAAGCTGAAATCTGAAGGGCGGTGGAGAGGAGGAGGAGGAGGGTGCTCAGGGCAGTGAGAACAGCATTGGCGGACACCAGGAAGGGAAGGAGGGCCCAAGCGGCTGAAGTGAGTGAGAGAGGGATGGAGTGTGAATTAGGCTGGGCAGTTGGCCCTTGGCCTTGAACCAACAAGATCCTGAGGCCATGATGAGTACTAGGGGTCCATGGGAGATAATCAGCAAGCAATTCGGTCAGGCTGTGATTTGCAGCCGGCGATGAGATTTAGAAGACCCTCCTTTCTGGCGCCTACACTCTCCCGGACCCTCTAGGTCCCTGTACCTGTGGGTCGTGATCACGCTGTGCACACACACAAACAACACACATGCTCACCCGGGCACGTCCAGCTGCTGAGCTTGCAGCTGGGCGGCCCTTTCTGCTGAGCCAGCTTGGCCCCAGCCTGAGCTCCTGGGAGGATGGGCTGTGCTGCCAGGGTGGGGGTAGGGTCCCTTCTCAGCCACACACCCTGGCAGAGCTGGGAGGGCCCCAGAGGCCATGCCATGATGCATTACACAGATGGGGACGCTGAGGCCCAAAGAGAGGCAGAGGCCCACCTGGAGTCACACAGCAACCACCTGAGTCAGGGGGTTTCTCACACCCCCAACACGCCCTGGCCTTTCTGTTGTCCTGGCCTCAGTCCCAACCCCAGAATGTCCTTCCCTCCCTGTACCACGCCCCTGATTCCCTCCTCTTATAGTTCTTTCTGACCCCCAACTCTGCCGTATTAGCAAGACAGGGCATCCGCCTGGGCTCCCCGTGGGTGCAGAGAGCAGACTGGCCACTCACCCCGGGTGGGTGGTCCATAGAGACCTGGGTGGCAGCCCACAGCCCTGCCTGCATCATGCACGTCAGCCGGTGCAGCTCATGCCCCGGGCTGATCTCAAACAGGCCCAGGCGCAGCTGCTTGTCTCGTAGACGCCCGAGAAGGCCACGGCGGCCGGACCTTGAGGTAGTTGCTTTGCGTCCAGCCTCTGGGGACAGGGCCAGGACCTGGTGGCAGAACAAGGCACAAGAAGCAATGGGCGTGTGGCAGCATCACAGAGGGGAAAGATATGGCTGTGAGTCCCATCTCCACTTCTTTGAGCCCTCCTCTGCCTCAGTTTCCTCGGTTGTAAAATACGAATAATTCTGGTACCCCCCTCACTGGTTGCTGAGAGGGGCCACACAGTCCCTGGCATGCAGTTAGCACCCCCCGGAAATAGAGTGGTGGTTATTATTAGCATTAAGCAGAGGGTGCAGTTCTGCAGCCAAACCTGGCCCAAGACAGACCGTCTCTCGCCAGCAGTGCGACCTGAGGTGAACCACCTGACCTTCTGGGCCTCGTTTTCTCGTCTGTTAAAATGAGAACTCCAACAACGTGGTGGCAGATATTAACTGCTGTTACTGTGGAGTTTGAGATCTGTGCACAGGAGCCCCGGATAGGAGCTGTGCGGGCTGCCAGTGATTCAGTCATCTGCTCCGCTCATCTGCGCGGACTTCCTCCAGGCCAGCTCGGAAGGTCAGCGCGGAGCAGCGACCACAGCCCCAGACCCATTAGTAGTGGGCACCCACCGTGTGACCTGCACTGGCCGAGAGCCGGCCCTCCTAACAGCCCTGTGAAGGAGGAGGTTTTATTATCACCTCCATTTGCCCCCATGGAAAAAAACTGGAGAAATTAACTCGAGGGATACCCTCCAGGCTTTTCCCCTTCATACCTGAGGTTTCCACGTGGGGCGTGTCCTGGTCCCCGCCCAGTGCAGGACCCCTCCTGAGCTCGGGTAGGGGTGTGTCCGCCCCCACACAGGAGGGGAGGCCCGGCTCCTGCTCCCAAACCCTTCCCCTTCTTGTGCTCTCTCGGGTCCGCACCTACCTCGCGGGGCCCCGGGCTCGGCGCGGCCATGGCGACCCGCAGCAGCTTCTTCGGCTCTGGCCGCATCCCCCGCCGCTGGGCAGCCCAGCTGCAGGAGCCGGGCCCCGCCCCTGCTTCCAGACTGACCAATAGAGCGGCGCCGGTCACGTCTGCACCCAATCCACGCGGGAGTCGCCTGCGGGTCCCGCCTCCAGAGCTGCAGCATCCTTCGGACCACTGTGTGGGATGGGGTGGGGGCGCGGCGCCTTGGCTGTGGTCCCTGGGAGGGAAGACCACCGTCCCTTCCCCTCCCCGGCTTTCCTCCTCTGATTCTCGGGGCTGCCCTAGGAGGCAGGTAAGCTCAATACAGTTCCGCCCACACACTCTGGAGTGAAATTCCCATCCGCCGTGTTTCGGGCGAGGAAACTAAGGTCCAGCGAGAGAAGTGATTACCTCGAGGTCACATGGGAAGTCTGGGGCAAGCATTCATTCAACACATGTATTCTAACACATACTGTGGGCCAGGAGCGGTGCTAGACTTCGGGGATTCAGTGGTGAGTGAGAAGGAGGAACACAGCTGCTAGCGAGATCTTTAAAAAGTATACATCGGATGATGTCACTCTCCTGCTGAAAGCCTCCAGTGGGTATTCCCACGGCACTGAAACAAAATCTACCCCCCCACCACCACCACGGTCCCAGCACCTTCTGCCCACTCTCCAGCCCCATCCCAGTCTCCTCTCCCTACACCCACTGCGCAGCCACGGGATCCCCCACCAGTCCTCGGCTACCAAACACTTTCCCACTTCGGGGCTGTTGCAAATGCTGATCCCTCTGCTTGAAATCCTTTTCCTCAGACTTCCATTTCCTTCGTGCCTCTTGTCCCCTTGGTCGACTCCTCCTCCTGTCCCTTCTCCTCGTTCCTGATCACACCACCTTGCTTTCTCCTCATCACGCGTAACTCCGTCCGAGATCTGTAACACTGTCGGAGATCTGTAACACCGCTGGAGATTGGAGATCGTTCATTTGTTTACCAAACCCCCTCCTCGAATGGGGGTGCCAGGAGGGCAGAAACCACGCAAGGCGCGCTTCCTGGCTCGGCACCTGGCACGGACTGATGTTGGGTCGAGTGTGCGGGGAACCCGCGGGAGTGGGATGTGCCAGGGGCCGCGGTGAGCCCCAGGAGAGGCGAGGCCAGCGTGGTGGTGGGTGGTGTGAGGAGGAAAGAGCGAGTGAGGAGCAAGTGTGCGGGTTCTCGCGGGCGGCCCGTGGCATGGAGAGGGGCGGAGGCCCGGAGAAGCATTGTAAGCGCGTGAGGAAGATGCTGTTGTTTTTGGAAGGTCACTGGTTATCATTCGGCCTATTTGGAGGGGACCAGGGGCAGAGGGAGAGCACGAGGAAAACTTGGGTGAGTTAAGGCGGAGAACGGTGGCTTTGCATCCAGAAGGGCTGGGGGGTGAGGGGTAGAATGGACAGGATTTGGGGCCTCGTGGCTAGGGGGACAGGAGAGGAAAGCCGAGGTCAGGGATGTCTGGCAGGCTTTTGGCTGGGGTCAGGGGCACAGGAAGACGCCGGTCAAGAGGGTGCAGGCTGTGAGGGGAGAGCCAGGTCCGGGAGGGTGTGTCCTGAGAATTCGGGTCACAACAGGATGAACTTGAGGTGCCACGATGACATTCGATGGAGGCGTCAGGTGGGTGGCTGGTGCGCGTGCAACACGCGGCTGCTCAGGAGACAGCCGGGCTGGGGGCAAGTCTGGGTAAAGACCAGGTCACCCAGGGAGAGTGGGAGGGGGGAACCCTGTGACAGAGTCCCGAGGGACCCGCCCTCTCACGGCGGAGCAGAGGGACAGGAGACATGAAACAGGAGAACGAGACATCAGAGCACCCGAGGGTGCACCCAAGGGGGATGTCACAGGCCACACGTGGCGGGAGTCGAGGAAACGTGCTTTGGACTTAAAAAGCAGACACCACTGGTCGTGTGAGTGGGTGCAGCGCCCCGTGGTTAGACCGAGCACAGTCGAGATGAGGAAATGCAGGAAGCAGGTGTGGACAACCTTTGGGGAGTCTGGCTATGAAGGGGAGAGGGGGCAGAGACCTGGGGGGAGTTGCTGGCTCAGTGGAAGGTCCCTGAGGTGAGAGACTGGACCCTCAGGAAACGCCGGAAGACCTTGTCGAGAGCCAGAGGCTGTTCCCAGGAGAGCAGGGCATCAGAGACAGGAGGCTCCTGCCACAGCAGGGCAAAAGGACGGAACCCAAAGCCCAGGGGAGCAGCACCACCTGGGGGACTGGGCGAGGGCAGCACAGGTGTGCCTGCACCTGGCCTCTGAGGACACCTCCGCTAACGGGAGTGAACCTCGCAGGTGTGACAGGAAGGAGGCTTACATCAGGCACGGTGAGCGGGACAGCTGGCTGCCCAGAGGGGAATGCAGGGGTTGCTGTGGGGCTGGGGCCAGGCCTGCGCCAGGTCACTCACCCCAAACACAGCAGAACCAGCCCTGCTCTGGCAAGGTAGCGGCCCTCACCGCTGAGCCACACCAAGTTGGGCTGCTGGCACGAGATGAACAGGCTTGGGCTCTTAGGAGACTGGCCTGAGGACCCCTAAAACACCAGTGCGAGCCGGCCGCGTGGACAGAGGCGGCACGGTGAAGGCTGCCGTGGGGTCTGGCAGACTGCCGGGGTCCCCAGTGGTGTGCTGCTCCGAGTCAGAACCACGGCTGCCCCAGCTCCGGCTTTGTCTTGTGTCCAGTCCAGGGATGACCCTGGAAGCACCTGAGGCATCTCCCTGGCCAAACCAGAGTCTTCTGAGCTGAGACCAATGAAGTGACCACCTGCCAGCCCCTCTCCAGCCCCCAAAGCCCAGCGCCCCTGGTCAGGGATGGCACAGAGACAAACACGTCATCAACATTTATTGTCCAGCTCCCCAGCAGGCCAGCGCTGGGGCCGAGGGGCTGGGCCTCCATGAGCAGTAGGCCTGGGGGCCCGTGGGGACCATCTCAGTGTGCCCTGAAGCCTGGTCCCGGTCGGGGGGCAGGTCTGTCCTCCCCCTAGGCTTTCCAGGTCCAGCAGTCCTGTGGGGCCCCAGGCCCCATCAGACCCGGGAAAGCTATCTTTGTGGAGGAAAAGGACATGGGTGGGGGGGGGGGGTGGTGGAGGCTATGTGATGGTTCAGAACCTGCCAATTCCAACATCAGCAAGTGTCAGGAGGGAGACTGAGGCAAGAGGGTAGAACCCAGAGGAAAGAGTGGCAGGGGTCTGGAGGTGAGGTAGGGAAGGTGGGCATCTTTCAGACCCTGAGCCAGAACGAGGAGAGGGAGACTTCCAGGTACTTCCTCCTGGTCTGGAAGGGTGAGCAGGGGAGAGGTGGGGGTTCTGGTCAGTCAGGGGCGAGTCCTGAACAGCTCCATCCCTGGGGGCGTCTGCAGGGCAGCCATGCCTGAGGGGGCTGCAGTGCGCGGATGGGTGCTGCGGGCCCCGCCCTGGGTGTGCCCAAGAGGGGAGGCAGAGAAGGGGTCGGCAGCCTCACCCCTGCGGGGGGGCCCTCACTGAGGCTTCTTGGTCACCTTCTGGTTCTTCAGCATCACGTAGGTGATGAACAGTCCTGGAACGTGCAGATGAGAAAGGCCGGGTGAGATCGGGGCTTGGGGCTGCTAGAAGGCCAGCACAGCGCATGGCGTGGCAGAGCGACCCACCCGTACATGCGGCCAAGTACCTCCCCAACGCCCCTCCAGGCCACCCGGTCATCTCCCTGGTCAGCCAAGCCATACATCCACCCACATTCACTCAGCAAACACCGCCGGGTGCCTACCACGGGCCGTCTGCTGCATTTAGTGTTTCAGGTTCCGCAGGATCCAAGGTCCACCCCACTACCAAGCTCACCAGCAACGCCCTGCCCACCCGCCTCCCCACTCAGCACGCAGCATCCACCCACCCCATCATGTGATTGTTGACTCGTTCAAACCAGTTTATTTACTTATTTACTTTTAATCCTCACCTGAGAACATGTTTTTCATTGCTTTTAGAGAGACAGAGAAAGAAAAGGGGGAGGGGAACACCGATGCTAGAGAGAAGCGCTGATTGCTTGCCTCCCATGCACCTGGACGGGTGATTGAACCCACAACCTATGTATGTGACTTGACCGGGAATCGAGCCCACGACCCTTGGGTTATGGGACGGCGCTCCAACCAAATGAGCCCCACCAGCCAGGGCCCAAAGCACTTTATGGAGCTCCAACTCAGTGCCTCGGCCTGTGTGGGCGCTGAGAACACAATACTGATGAAGACACAGTCCGAGGGCACCCACACGCTAAACCGTGGGAGACCAGAGAGGTGCAGGAATCACGAGCCAGAGTGACAAGGGGGTGAGAGGTGACTGAGGTATGAGCAGAGCTGAGGGAGACTTCCCAGGCGTCTGGAAGACTGACGGTAGCCCTGAAGGCTCAGCAGGAAACTCCCCAGGGGAGTTCAGGGCAAGGAGCCTCAAGCAGACGTCCAGCAAGTGCTGAGATGCAGTTCAGGGGTGAGAGAGGGTCATCACCCCCACGCCCACCCCACACCCTGCCCAGGGGCGTGGTGACTCACCCACACACAGGAGCAGCAGGAGGCCAGCAACCAGGGGGATGGCAACGGCGTAGGCTCGGGGCAGGAAGTACTTGTGGATAACATGCTGGCTGTCGATGAACGGCTGGCATCCAGGGCAGAGCTCTGGTGAGCATTCCCGGCCTTGCTCAGGACCCCCAAACCCCCCCTTCCACCTCCTCCATCTCAGGGGTTGCCCCCACTCAAACCACTGGGAGGGCATTTGCTTTTCTTTAAGGTAATGGCATTTTGTGTGTCTTAGTGTGTTTTCTTCCTTCGCTCAAGTAGTTGTTCACAGGGCACTGGCCCTAAGTTGCTAGTGCTGGGGACCCGGCAGGGTACAGAACAGACAGGACCTGCCGCCAGGCGCTCACGGGGGAGAAGGGCACTCGAGGAAGCCTGGAGTGATGCCCAGCCTGGGCTCCAGCCTCTTCTCTCCTCACACTTTTCTCCAAAGGTTACCAAGTTCTACAAGACCCTGCCTTCCAAACACACTGCACTTCTTCAGCAGTAACCCCCCACCCCCCCACACCCCAAGTGCTAAAGGTCCTCACAAAGCCCACTGGCACCCACGGTGCCCAGCAGCCAGCGGGATAACCAGAAGGATGAGACCTCCCTTCAGGGGCAGGGCACATCAGGAAGGGGGCTTTACAGCGGAGCAGGTGAGGGTAGGACCTCGGGCCGACCTTTCTCCCCGAGCCTCAGCTTCCTCATCTATACAACGGGGACAGCACGAGCATCTTCCTCTTAGTGCTGTTCTGGGGATTCCATGAAATATTTCGGTAAAGCACCTCGCACAGTTCCAGTCCCATGGCTGTTTAAATAACGTTAGGGGTCGGCTGCTAGATCCATGAATGGAGATGGGGGGGCGGGTAAGTACACATACCAAGAGAATCACCCAGGCGGTGTAGTAGGTGAAGATGATCAGGCTAACGGCGACGAGGCCGAGTCCCACCACCTGGTCTGTCCCCGTGGCCTGGAGAAAAGGGAGGGCTTAGTTGACTAAGTGATTCTTCGTTTAGGTGTACTAATGGGGGGGAGGGTGCGTCGGAGCCTGATTATACTGGCGGAGCGCCGGATCTGGAGTTTTCATCCGTACAACGGGCCGGCGGGGGGCCAATCCCAGGTCCGAGCGCCCAAACCCTGGCTCCTAAACAGACGCGGGACCCCCAAACCCAGCATCCCGCCCCACGCTCACCATTTCCCCGCGCTCCGCCCCGGAGCACCAAGCCACATCCGGTTCCGGATCCGGGCCCTTCCGGCCTTCGGGCTCGTGGCACGCCGGCAGTCGTAGTCCTTACGCGGGCCTAGGCCTACGAAGTCTGACAGGCAGGCACCGCCTCCCCGCTTTGCATGTCGGGAAATGTAGTTTCTCGAGTGCATTGTGGGACAAGTAGTTCCCGAATCTTCATAGGTAATGGGTCAGAGTTGAGAATTCAGACTGGCTGGGACTCGTGGCCTCAGTCGATCTCTCCCCAGAAGGAAAGTCCGTATCTAAATATCCTCAAGTCCCAAGGCTAGAGCCGGGTGGGGTGGGGACGCAGAAATCTCATTTTTCGGATGGGGATAATGAGGCTCAGAGAGGGGCGAGGACTTGCGGGAGATCACAGTTCAAGGCTGTGGTGAAGCCACACCAGCACCTAGGGCCCTAGTTCTCGTCCCGACGCCCTAACTTGAGCGGAGGATGCAGAGAACGTTCACCGCCCGGTTCGGAGGCAGAGGGGCTAGTCGGAGTCCTCAGGGATGGGGTGGCGTCCCCTTACCGTGGTCTGTACTCTCTTTACTCGCCGCCCCCGCGTCTGCCTCGGCGGTCTTGGGTGTCTCGGCAGCTCAGGCAACAACTCAAACGTGTCCCCGGACTGGCTGCGTCTGCGGGCCCCTCCCCAGGCTTGGAGGCCCTTTCCTCTGAGAGCAAGGGGCCGCTGTGCCTCACTAGTCCGGTTTCACTGGGATGCCACACAACCCAGGGAAGTCACCTTCGCAGCTGGAAAGCGATGTGTTCCCTCCTCTCTGCTCCACAGCCCCAAGTGTCTCCCTGATGACACTTGTCACCGTGTTTGAACTAGCTGATTGACTTGATTTGGCCCAAGGGACTGTGAGCTCCCTGCGGATAGTCAGGGGTGTGCATCACCAGTGCCGAGAATGGAGCTTCGCACCAAGTAGGAGCTCTGAATCAACCAACCGGTTTTAAGATTTGGTGGCTTTTTGGATCTTGGAATGCTATAGTGTACAGCATTTGGTGGCGGAGTGGGGGTAGGGGGTGGCGGGTGGAGATCAGGCCTGAACCTGGAAAGCTCCTTCTGGCAGCATACGTCACCTTGGGTTGTCTGAGCCGTCTCCGAGGATGGGGGCTGCCCTCCCAAAGCTCATAGGAGTATCCTTTTTTCTTTCCTCCCATTTTGTGTCACCCAACATTACTGTGTTCCAAAGGCGCAACGCTTTCTGCTCTGTGGCCCAATTCCTTCCTTGTCTCGGGACAGATTCAGGGCTCTGCAGACAGCCAACTTTCCTGTCTCCAGGTGCACCCTGGAGGAGCCTGAGAAGCAGCCCCCAGGGTTCACAGGGGCTGTGCCTGGGCATCAGCCCTGAAAAGGGGTGGGGCAAGGCAGCACCGTGGCAGGCCCACAGCCTGGTAGTCCGGTCGCTTCTGTCTGTCCAAAGCCACAGGTTTCCTGCCACTTCTGAGCTCATTAAGGGTCCAGGGTGACATGCGTGTCTCAGAGCTTGGTGCAGACTCCTCTGTAACTTCAGACGGGCAGGGAGCGAGAGGCCCCGGCCTGGAGATTTAGAGATTGGGAACCAACTCAGCACCTCCCTAGGGCAAGTGGTTCACGCAGGTTCTCATCGGATCTACCACCTCACTTGCTGCTGAGAAAACGGAGGCACAGCGAGTTTTCTGTCCTCAGGCACGCTTGTCAGGGGCACCTGCCTGCCAGGGGGTCTGCAGAGCCATTAGAACTCGGGCTCTGAGGTCGGGGCTGCCACTTACTAGGTCTGAGATTGGCAAGAAACTGCACTTGGACCTCAGTTTCCTCCCCAGGACTCTGGTGGTGTAAAGGTGGGAATTACTGTGACTTCAGCAGGGACTTGGAGAACCCTGGCCACCTGTATCTCCAACCCCCGCCCCAGAGCATCACCTTACATCCATCTGGTGGTGTCTGTGACCCCAAAGTCAAGTCGACAAAACAAATGAGGACCCCCATGCCATTAAGGAACAAAAACTGCAACATTTATTTCCCCCCCAAATCAAGACACTGACACTAGGCTGATTCCCCTTTACAATGTTATTTTCTACAGTAGAAGCTGGGACAGAGATACAAACACAGCCCACTGACTCAGGGTGTGGTGGTGGCAACGTTCCGTTAGAAAGAGGGGAATTAACAAAAATAAAAAAGACCTCCCCGTCCCGCCCGACCCCCATCTCCCTGCCCACCTCCCTAGAGAGAGGAGAGCATGGACATTCTCCATCCTGGCAGATCATGCCATGTGGTCAGTTTGTGGGGTGACCAGAAAAAAAAAATAACCTAAAAATATTGTAGACCTTTATTTATTTTCTTTAAATCTCCTAGTAAAAACGTTAAACTGTCTTCCGAGATTCCAAACTGTCATTGCATAGACCAAATCCTTTCCAAAAATATCTCTAATATATTCCTCTCTATTCTCTCTATATAGAATTTTTAAGTCCAGGAGCGGTGGGCGCCTAGGGGGAATTCACTGAGCTTGAGTGGACCGGAGGCTCCCACGCAGGGACGAGGCCAGGGCTCTGGCCAGCGTTAATTTGGTCACGGCCAAATTCTCAGCCCAATGACCCTGGCCCAGGGCCTGGCATGGGAGGCTGTGGGAGGCTGTCTGCTGGGGTGACTGTCAAGTTCAGGCCTCATCTACAGTGGGGCTAGCGTTCCTTCTTCTGGGGGCTTTCCCCAGCAGCACCAAAGCCAGCCATTTTCTGCCTAACGCCCCAGAATTTTGAACCAGACACCAAATGCACCTTGCATGCACCTTCCCACTGGGCTGAGGTCCGGCAGACACAGGAGGGAAGGGTGGTATACCCCCCATCTCCTGGGAGTCACTCCATCTGGAGACAGTGCAGCCAGCCGCCTTTTAAAGTGCCAGGTGTCTAGGGGCAGGAAGGGACCCACAGAGCTGACCGGAGCCTTCTCCAGCCACAGCGAATGCGCTGTCCTGCCTCGGCAGGTGCCTGCCGGCATTCTTTTCCTAAAAGGTGATTAAAAACAACAAAATCCTAGAACTGCTCTGGTCCCAGTGCTGAAAGGTTCGAAGACCAAGACTCCAACTCGTGCCAGCTGGGGCAGAGGGGCCAGGAGCCCTCCCGGCCTGGGGAGGACACCCTCACCCCCACCCCTGCCAGAGACAGAACCAGTATCCTGGCCCCCCCTTTCCAGATCCCCAGCCCTGCTGGGGACCCAGTCAGTGGGTGGGGCACAGAACAGAACCACCTCCCCTCACCTGGGGGAGGGAAAAATGTCGAACTGTGAACCCTACAAAAAAAAATGAAAAGAAAGAAAAAGGGAGAAAGGAAAGGAAAGGAAAGAAGAGAAAAATGTATAGGGTAAGTAAACACCAGCCCGCTGGGTTTATACAAAAACGAGTGACGTTAAGAGCGGCAGGGAGACTGTCCAGAGACTGGCTGGCAGCCCGCACCTACCTTCAAGCAGTAATGAGGACTGGGGGGCGGGGGGCGGGCGGAAAGTGCTCGGAGCAGAGGCTCTGGTGAGGGGGCAGGGGCAGTGCCGGGCTGCTCCCTGCAGGAAACCCCTCCTGGAAGGACCCCGCCCAGCCCTTGCCCGGAGAGGGGGATGCTTTTAGAGGAAGGCTGAGGCTTTTCTGGCCAGGGAGCCAGCTCCAGCTGGTCCAGCCACAGCCCACCTGCCCCTCCAGCAGTGGCCCCAGCCTGGGCCAGCTGACCCTGAGGGGAGAGAACGGGGGTGGCGCTTGCCCAGCCCAGCCGGGCCCCTGACTTCCAAGGGCTTGGGAGGCACCTTTCTGGCTTCCTACAGGAAACCAGCTGCTCAGGTCCCAGCCCTGGGCAGAGGGGAAGGACCATCGAAGCTCAGGCCTTTCTCAGCACGGGCCTCGGGCCTGAGCTGCAGCTAGCTTGGAGGGAGGAGAGGCAGGGCCCCGTGCCAGCCGGGCTGCTAGGGCTGGGCCGCGGACTGCACAGCAGGCAGCGCCCAAGAAGCCTGGGGAAGGGATCAGGGGAAGGGCAGGCGAGGGCCAGTGGGGCTGTGCTGGACACAAGCGTGTGCAAAGTGCAGGCTGCCCGGGCAGCAGGAGAACATTCTCTGGGGGAGGGAGTCTCAATCTGGAGTACGGGTGGGGTCTGAGGTCTTGGCTCCCGGGGGAGGCCGCCGGCAGGTCCCCCAGGGCACAGGGGAGGGGTAGCTAAAGCACTAAGCAGTCACAGGGCCACGGTGGCAGGATTCTGGGGGTGAAACAGCCCCCAAGGGAATGGGGGGCGATGGAACAGAGCCCTGCCGGGGCATGGTTTGAGCTGGTGCTCCTAGGGGGGGTGGGGGACAGGGCAAGGGGCCCCTCGGCCATGAGCAGCTCCGTGTGTGTAGGACCCGCTGCGCGTCCCCATCGAGGGACCAGGTCAGTCACCAGCGGGGCATTCTGGCCATCATTGTCTTGCCCGCCCACTTCACGGGCCCACGTGTCCTGCCCTCTAGTGGTTGAGAGAAGAATGTTCACAGTGGTGCCCAGGCCCCAGCAGGCCAGGAGGGTCCCAGCGTGGATGGGAGGACAGTGGAATGAGGCTTTGGGGCAGGACTGCGGCTGGAGTGCACGGAGGAGGCACAGATGAGATGCGGCGTGGACGGTGATATCCAAAGGGGAAGGTCCCTCGTGGAATGGTGGGGGTCTGGACGCCCGCAAAGGAAGGGCCCTTCTCCAGCCTGGACACCCGCTCCTCAATGGCTTTCAATGACGACGGGCTCATAGACCCCAGAGGAGACCCTGCGGGGGGAGAGAGGTCAGCCTGTCCTCCTCGGTGCTCTTCTGGGCCAGGCCCCTGGAAGCACTTCACAAGCGGGCACTGTGAACTGGCCTCATTTTGCAAAGGGGGCTCAGACAGGTGGAGTCACTTGCCCAAGTGACACAGACAGTAAGTCTCAGAGTCCACGGGATCACAGAGCTGGCACACACAGGGGTGTGCTGAGCCCGTCCTAACACCGACCCCGGCAGGGAGGGGCTGCACCCCACCCCACTGGACAGGTGAAGAAAGGGAGGCTCAGAGGGATGACGAGGCTTGCCAGGAGGGCGGTGGAGGCTGGGAGCTCCTCCCACTGAGGCCAGGCGCACCCACGAGGCCATGGGCATTCCGGGCTCAGCAAGCTGCTCTGCTCAGACCTCGGACCTCGCTGCCAGGCTGGTCCTTCCCTCCCCGAATCCCAGCTTCAGAGGGAGGACGCATATTCACACACCTTCAAGAGGTCACTGTTTTCTCCCTGCCCACCTTGTGGGGGCAGCCGAGGAGGCCACAGGGCAATGGCATATGCAAACTTGTGCCTTGCCAGCAGGGGGCAGCAGAGCAGCACCAGGGGGCAGGCCTGGGGCCCCCGGGCAGCCCAGCCAAGGCTCCTCCAGCTCTGGCCCTAGATGTGAAATGGGCACTGTCCCGCCCTCCCACAGGAACAGGGTGGGGGGCCGGGGGAAGCCTTCCCCACAACCCTGCATGTGGGAAGCCCCTCCCCCATTCATTCATTCATTCATTCATTCCTTCACTCCCTCACTCACTGAGCCAGGCACACGGTGAACACGTAAATAAATGCCTGGGAGGGCGCTGGCATTCTGCAGACTACAAGCCCAAGTGTGATCCTGCCACCGCCTCGTCTCTGAACGTCACGAGGGCAGAAAACTGCCACTGACTGTTGTACGCCCAGCTCCTCAATCAGTGCCTGGTGCGTACCTGGTGCTCAGTAAACACCCGTCCGATAGACGGGTCATCAGCTCATTTTGAAGGGGTTCCCAGATCCAGGAGGAAGGGAAAGGTGGGTCCAAAATAAAGATCATTAAGCCCCTGGTCTGTGCTGAGCCCTGTGCTAGGTGCTTTCCAAGGTCACCTCTGGAACACTGCCCAGGTTTCTAGGTGAGACGCAGTGCACACTCGTTGAGAGAGGGGGAAACGGAGGCTGGGAGAGCAGTGACTGGCCCCAGGTCACCCCGTGGTGACTGGCACTCCAAGGGAGGTCAGTAGGCTGCAGAGACCTTGCTCTCTGCACCAGGCCTCCCAAGGCCGCCCTGACCACCCGCCCCTGCCCCTGCCCCCTACCTGTTGGCCAGCTGGATGCCGCTGAGCGTGGTGGAGCCATCGCGACTCACGAACAGCCGGAGGTTGCTGTCTGTGGGGACACGGGGGAAGGCGGAGGCTGAGCAGGGCGGGGCCCTGGAGCCGAGGGTGGCAGGGTCCTCGCAGCAGGGTTCCTGCAGCCCGCCCAGTCCCCTAGCCCGCCCGGCGGCGTCGCCCCGGCTCACCCTCGGAGTTGCTGCCGTCCGTGAAGTCCTGGCTCTGCATGATCTTCTCCACGATGTCGTCCGCATCGATCCGCGTGTCGTCCACCCAGGGCGGGTGGCTCTCCATCGAGTCCTTCTTCCGCCTGGAGCAGAGCGGGCATAGTCGCCACAGTCAGTGCGGGACGGGCCCCGTGAGGACAACAGCGGGGGCCTCCTGGCTCAGGACGCTCGAAGTGCCCGTGGGAACTCGCGCAGGCGGCACTCACTCAGCCCTCCCCTCATGCAGCCCCGCTCGGCTGTGCAGGCGCCGTCACTGCGTGCTCTCAGAAGTGAGGACACGGAGGCTCTGAAGGGCCACACGGCATTAGGCAGGGGACCCAAGGTGCCCTAAGGCGTACAGAGCAAGGCCTGAGCATGCGCAGGCCAGCCAGGTCAGGGCTCCACACCTCGAAAACACCAACTGGCTGAATCACCACCACGCAGCCTCCTGCCTCCTGTTACAGGTGAAGCAGCAAAGGCTGCAAGAGCCACTAGGCACGGGGCGGGGGGCTGAGGGCTGGGAGAGGGGTCCTGCCCTCTAAATTGCTGCGAAGGGAGACTCACCGAAAGGAGCGCTCAGACAGAAGTGGGGGCCGGGGCGGCCGCGGGGGCTTCTCGGGAGGCCGGTGCTCGCGCTCACCAGACTCGGGGCCCTCCACGGTCATGCTGAGGCCACCAGAGGCACTGCTGCTGGTGGACGTGTTGCGGCGGTGCGTCAGGTCCGAGAGGCTGGAGGAGCGCGAGTGCTCCGTGCTGTAGCCTGGTGGGCGGGCGGGGCCGCTCGTCAGGGGCCGCCCGGGCACACGGGAGGCCGGGGGCATGGGGCCGAGCGGGCACTCACCGGAGATCTTGGACTGCTGGCTGGCGTAGCTGGAGTTGCGGGAGTGGCCGGAGTGGAACACCTCCTCGGGGCTGGACAGGTTCTGGTCTGTCTCCTCTGGCACCCCTGGAAGGCAGGGAGAGGGCACGGGTTCCTGGGGTGCCCATCCTCTCACTGAGTATGGAGGGGGTGGGTGGGGGCCCTATGTATTTCCATTCAACAGACTGGAAAGGTGAGGCTCATAGGAGCAGCAGTGTGCTCCAAGCCACAGTTGACCATCTGAACCCAGATGCATTCATCCTACGAATGCCTGCAGGGACCCCTCCTCGCAGGGTGCTCTGCTGGGTGCTGTGAACAGGAGCCTGGGTGTCGCAGACCACCGGGGAGGGCGCATGTTGAACTCAATGGGACCCACAGTGAACTACAACTGCAGTGAGTGGTACAGGGCGGGGAGCAGTGGGCGTGGGGGTCCAACCCAGTCTGAGGGCAGGGAAGGCTTCTCTGAGGCGGTGGCCTTAATACACGAGACCCTCAAGAGGCCTGGGAGGGAGCAAGCCAGATAAGGCGTCAGAGAAAGGGCCTTCGGAAGGCACAGTGTGGGGCAAAGGCCCTGAGGCTTGATGGAGCTGAGTCAGTGCAGCTGGCACACAGCAAATTAAAGGTATGGGGACCTGGCTGACGGCCCCGCCCCAGGTCACCCAGGTCACCCAGCAGCTCTGCTTGGACACTAACGTGCCAGCACTCCCCACTGGGAGGTGCAGGGGAAGCGGGCGGACCCACCCCGGCTCCCTGGGGGCCCACCGCCAGTCCTCCTGCAGCAAACACAGGAAGCAAGGGTTCGCCCATCCCCCTGTCAGAGCTGAGTACAGCCAGGCCACCAGCTGGACCCCGGGCCGGTGTCCCCACCCAAAGTCAGGTGGCTTTTTAAGTGCCCAACAGGTTCTCCGCAGCACCAGCTACAGCGGCACCTGAGGCTCCCCCCAACCCCATGCTGCCTGGGAGAGGCACCCCTGCTACTTCGCACAAAGGCGTCGTCTGTGCCGGGGCGGCCCGGTCCCCAGACCTCTCCTCTGGAGAACCCCTTGCCGGAGCTGGAGAAAGCAGAGGTGCTGAGAAGCCCCGTTCCCTGGTGCAGCCCCCAGGCTGAGGCAGGCGAGAGCCCTAGCTCCCTGCCCTGGGCCTCTCCCCTGGCTGGGTGTCCAGGAAAACAGGAGAGGAAGGAAGCTCCCAGCCCCTGGGGGCGGAATCACCCAGCAAGCATCTGCTGAGCCTCTGGCCCTCCGCATTAATTGCTCTTGTGACACAAATTAGAGCCACCACGTGCCACCTCGTCAGATGGGGCACGGGGGCTGAGGCCCTCCTTCCCCCTGCACAGCACTGGACATGGGGTTGGGGGGGCAGGCCAGGGCCCCCTCCCCTGGTGGCACCCCCTCCTCCTAATTGCCATGCCATCTCCTCTGGGGATGCAGGCTTGTCTAAATTTTTTTTTAAGGTTTTATTTATTTTTAGAGAGAGGGGAAGGGAGGAAGAGAGGGAGAGGAACATCAATGCTCGAGAGAGACATTAGTTGGTGGCCTCTCACACGCCCCTAACAGGGGACCTGGCCTGCAACACAGGCATCTGCCCTGACTAGGAATTGAACTGGCGACCTTTTGCTTTGAGGAATGATGCCCAGCCCACTGAGCCACGCCGGTCAGGGCTCGTCTGAAGTTTTTACAGCATTGGTAATAATGATAATTGAACGGAAACCCCCAGAGTGCATACACTGCACAGGCGGGGCCCACCGTTCACCCGGGTTATCCCCGAAGCAGCCCAGGACCTGGTCCCCCCTGCTGACCCCATTTTACAGGACACTGAGCCCCAAAGAGGCGAAACGGCCAGTCAAGGACCTGCCGCAAGTCGGGGAGCAAGAGCTCAGAGCACGCATCCCTCTGCCAGGAATACTGCGCCCCACGCCCCACATTCAGCTCAAATGCCACCACTCCAGGGAGACTCTCCAGGCCCCAGACAGACACCGCGGAGTCTCTCGCAGCTCCTGCCACTCCGCAGGTGGACATGCATTTGGCTTATTTATTGTCTCACTGATGCCTCTCTCCTGCAAGAGCGGGAGGGCCGTGAGGTCAGGGACGCCACGTCAGTCCCAGTCCAGGGCACTGCACTGCGCCTGGCCCCCGGGAGGGGCTTGGACAACGTCTACACCGTGGAAGCATGCACAGGGCAAGCAGCTTCCCACCACCTCGCTCTTCCCAGCGAGTGCCTCCCCTGGGACACCTCGGAGGTAAAAGGGGCAGGGTGGGCAGGTGGGGAAGGTACCTGAGCCGAGAATGGTGGGCCGGGCCTTGGGGGGCCGGGACCCCGTCAGGGAGTTGGTGCCGCTGCTGCCACCGCTGCTGGTCCCGCCACCCTTACAGGTCAGCTGCAGGGAGGAATCCTGGCCTGGGATGGAGATGGACTTGGCAGTGGACGGCGGCCTTGGGAGGACAGACAGGTGTGACCGTGGGGCCCCAGCCTGGGAGTCAGCTGAAGGCAGAGGGGCCCCCTCCCCGCCGGCAGCCGGCCCCCGCACTCACGTCTTGAAGCACGGGTCTCCAGAGAGCAGAAACATCCCGATGGTGACCTGTGGGGCGGGGCGCAGTCAGCCACACCGCGTCCACCCACTCAGCCGGGGCGCCCGGCCTCCCTGCTGCAGCCTCCCTGCCTGGGGTGCAGGCGGGGCTCGGAGTCTGAGCCCAGCTCTGCGCCCTGCTGGCCCTGGAGAAGCTGCCACACCTCGCTGGGCCCGTCTCCTCAAGCAGACGGGCCTGACCCTGCCGCCTGCCCCCCGGGACGGGACGGGACGGTGGCGAGGACGCAGCAGGAGATGAGGCTTCGCTTGGCCTGGCACCTGGCTCAGGGAGACCGAGAGGCAAAAGCCAGCTGCTGTTGTTTCAAAACTACAGCGAGACCGTGAGCCCTCTCGGGAGGGGCCGCCCAGTCACTCTCCATCCACAGGGCCTGGGGCTCCGAGTGGGCGTGGGAGCCCGAGCTCCACTTGGCAGCAGAGGGAAGGAGGCTGGAGGAGCCTGCCCAGTGAGGAGGGGCTTCCCCGAGCTGGAAGCGGGGTGGGGGTGGGGGGCGCTCACAGAGTCCAACGCAGAGCGTGGGGCTCAGTGACGGTGTCTTGAATCAAGTGAAGCACAAACCCATTAGAAACTTGACAATTTAACGTCCGCCTGGGCAGGCAAAGACTCTGGCAATGGCCCCAACGAGGCAACGCCTGGGTGCCCACATCTGGGCTGAGACGGAGCGACAGGTGGGACAGAGGGGCCGGATCCCAGGCACCACCACCAAAAGGAGCTCCCTTGGGCTGAGGCTTCTGTTTTTATGGGTTATTTTATTTTATTTTGGCCACAAGAGCACCCTGCAGGGCAGGTGAAGGTCCCGGATTGGGGACTGAGCCCCAGACTTAGAGGAAGTGACTGCCCAGGGCCCTGTAGACAGGAAGTAGCCTTGAAGCTGAGGCCACCTGCCCCTCAGGTGTCCTTGGTCGGGCCCGAGGTGTCTGGTGCCACTGGGGCAAGGCGGAAGGGTCCCAGGTCCCACCACCATCAGCCTACGCCTTTTCAGGTGCCTCCGCTTCCCTCTGCAATGGGCCTGGGAGACCCCAGAACCTCTGCCCACCACCCTGGCCCAGCTCCGGCCCAGCTGCAGCCCAGCGCTGCCCCCGCACAACAGGCTCCCACCGGGTCGGCCGGCAGAGGTGTACTTAGGACAAGACTGTTTTCTCAGCCAGGTGGAAGGGTGTGGAGACAAGGAAGAGAGGTCTGCAGGTGGCAGATACCCAGATATCTGACCTAAGAGGCCCAGGTGGCTGCTGCCTTGGGCGGGGGGGGGAGCCACTCCAGGCACCAGAAGCGTGGCTGGGCCCTCGGAGCAGCCGCCCTCAGAGTCTGGCCAGGTGGAGGGGCGGCAGGTTCTTCCGGTCACCGGTGCTTCACCGGGACCTCAGGCTGCCCCAGGTCATGCGGGCCAACGGTGAGGCCCTGGATTGCAGCCTCAAGGGCCAGCTCTGCTGTGGCCCCGGGCCCGTGAGCTAACCCCTGTGGCTCGGCTGCCTCCTGTGCAAAACTGGGACTAATAACAGACACCACACGCCTCGGGCCGTTGTCAGGAGTCACACGGCAAGAGGTGGCAGCGCTCAGCGATGCTGATCTCACCAAACCCTTGAACAGACTGTTGGGGTCCAACCCCCCGTTATGGATGGGGAAACTGAGGCCAGAGCCGGAGCGAGGCCTTTGATTCCTGACCCAGGGTCCACACCCGCCCAGTAGCCCTCACTGCCTGTCCAGGGGAGAAACCTGTATCTTTAACAACCCTCCGGGGACTCCGATGCGGAGCAGGTCTGCCCCGGCCCCGCGGTGGGACGGGGCCGCGGAGGCAGCAGGGCCCCGTACCTTGAGGATGGAGTTGTCCTGGCGGGTGTTCTTCGTGTCGTAGCCCTCCAGCAGGCAGCAGCGCACGGTGGAGCCCGAGCCTGCAAACTCAGCCAGGTTCAAGTCGGCAAAGCCCAGCTGGGAGGGAGGGAGAGAAGAGACCGTGGGAGGCGGCCGGGCGTGCGGGCGCAGGGCTGGCAGCCCGAGAGTTAACCTGGCGGGGCGGAGGGGGGCGGGGCGGCAAAGCCCCAGGTCCCACGAGGGCCCAGGCGGCCCAGACTGACTGTTGCGTAACCGGCACCCAAGGACAGGGGCCCGGCTGGCGGCTTGGGTTGGAGGCTCCAGCGCAGCAGAGCCGGGAGCTCACATCCCGGAGCCGCACAAAGCGCCCTTTGTGTTGTGTCCCAGAGTGCACCGGGGCAGTGCCTGAGATGAAAGGACATTGTTGTCTGTGACACAGACACATTGTTCCCCGGGAAACAAGGCTGTGCTGTGGGAGCCGCCGGGACAGTGGGCCGCGGGGAGGAGAAGCCCATGGGAACTTGGCCTTGGGATGGGTGGGCGGGGTACACGCTGCAGGGCGCACAGGAACCCCGCATGGGGGCTGGAGTGAGGGGCTGCGGGGCACTCGGGGGTGATGCTCCTCAAATACAGAGAGGGGAGGGGTGGGGGAGGAAGTGGAGAAGGCGGAGAACAGGGTCTCTGCCTCCGACAGAGGCCAGCGGTGGCAGGCTGGGCTGGGAGAGGCAGCAGAGGTTACCATGGGGGGCACCAGGATTAGAGACTCGGGCGACAACCACACCACCCGGGGACCTTTACGGAGCACCTGCTGGGTGCAGGTCTCTGCTGCAGACTTTGGGGCATGGTTGCCAGAATCAGGGATTCCAGGTTCAAATCCCAGCCCTTCCAGCAACTCAGCGACCCCCATTTTACAGACAAAGAAACTAAGGTCCAGGTAGAGAAACTAAGGCCCAGGACATAATACGTGTGCAGGGCCCCAGACGGCTCAGCCAGCAGAGCCAGGCCTGAAGGAGGCCCGGTCAGCGACGAGTCTCCCTGCAGGCCACCCCTCTGGCGTCAGTCTTGTCCTCTGTGTCGAGGCTGCCGGGCCGGTGTGGGCGTCTGACCGGGGAGTGGAAGGGAAGGGCCCAGCAGGTCTGCCACGCGCCGGGGGCGTGACACACGTTTGCCCGACGCAGGGAGGACGCTCTGGCCGTTTGCTGGTCGTTTCTTTCCTGGCTGGGCAGCTACCCTCACCCGTGTGAATAGATGGGAGGAGAAATTTCGGCTCTGAGAGCACCCTCCACGGGCCGGTTTGGGCCCCCCTGCCCTCTGCTCCAGGAGAGGGACACCAGCGACCAGCCGGGGCAGAGCGCGCGGCCCGGAGCGCTGCCCTTCCTGAGCGCAGGTCGGTGGGAAGGAACACGCCCCCCCCCACCCCACGCAGGGGGAGGCGAGGCGAGGCATTTCCCCTCCAAAGTGACTAGGTGTCCCCCCCATCCCCCCATCCCCCCGCCACTGCGCCACCTCCCTGGGGGGGAGGCCCCGCCGGGCATGTGCAGGCTACCGCAGAGAAGGAAGGGGGTTGAAGGGCAGAGCAGGCTCCTTCGGAGCCCGAGGCGGCCCGTCTTCTCCCCCTCTTCCCAGAGGCGCAGGCTTCCGGGCGGAGGGCTGGACTGTGTGTGGGTGCAGGGAGACCCTGCCTGGCAATGACGACGCAGAGGGCAACGGCGGGGCCTGGCTGAGTCCCCTGCTCCCCAGCCACACAGTGGGACCCCGCTGCCGCTGTTGAAGCAAAAGGACATCCGTGGCGACGCGAAAACGTGCCCGTGACACGCCGGCGAGCGCAGCGCCAAGCTGCCCCTGGGCGTTTCAAGACCACTCTGTCTGCACGGGCACGGGCACGCGCACGCCGGGGAGGCGCGCGCCCGCGCCCGCGCTCGCCTCGTCGCCAAACCACGTGCAGACGCTGTCTGCACTGCTCTGCCGCACAGTACAGTTCACCCTTCCCTAAAAGGTCTGGAAGGACCCCAACGGACCCCGGGGCTGGGGCCCGGGGAGGAAGGGCCCGGAAGCCGACCCTTCCGCCCTGTGAGCGTTTGTGCCCATCTGTGACGCCACGAACGTATGCGGTCTTTCACGTGAAGTGCAGAGACGATCGATAAAGATCTTTCCCCAAAATTATGTATCTCCTGGAGGGCCGAGTGTCTCCCGTTTGGGGCAGAGAGGGGGCTGGGAGTTCTGGGAGCCTCTCTCCTGCCTGTCCGGTTCCACCCCGTCCCACCCCACCCCACCCCATCCCGTCCCGTCCCGTCCCACCACGCCGTCCCACAGTTCCACTCACCTTGGAGTACGCCTTCCCGCCTTTCAGCTCCTGCGTAGGGAGACAGACACAAGCAGCAAGGTGACTGGGGAATCCAAGGGGCTTCACGCGTCCCCCTCATCCCCAGCCCTCCCCCCGAAAGGTGACCGCCAGGGGAGGAGGATAAGAAAAGGGGCAGAGCGACTCACCCCATTTCCCCTGAGGGGGGTCAGCCCGGGGAGGGGCTTCTACAGCCACCAGAGCGGAGGCCCCACACCCACCCTTCAGCTCGGCTTGCAGCCCCGGCCCCGGCCCCGGCCCCGGCCCAGACTCACCTTGCGCACCGACACCCGGAAGATGCAGGGATCCAGCAGGCCGGTGGCCGGGTTGGCGCTCATCTTACACACGAAGGTGAACCGTCTCCGCCACCGCACGCAGTTCTCCTGCACCTCCTCCCTGCGGGCCAGACAGGAGGTCAGTGCCGAGGGAGGCGGCGAGGGACAGGGCTCAGCTCTGCGGGGGGGCAATGGTGGGGGGAAGGCAGTGGTGGGGAGGGGAGGAAGGGGACCGCCCACTTTTCACTTTGTGTTACAAAGTGGCCGTACTGTGCTAACAAGAATGTGCTTGTGTATAAGTGTTGCAGAAACAAAAATATGCCATAAAAAGTGAAAACACACACGGCAGGGGAGGTCAGGCTGGGGCCAGCTACCCCCACCCTCTGCTCCCAGCGCCGTCCTCCCGGCCCCCTCGCTCTGTGGCCTTGGGCGGCCCCTTCTGTGGCCACTGCCTCCCACCAGCCAGGTGGCCACTGGCCTCGCCGAGTGGCCCTCCCAGCAGTCTCCCCGGGCTGGACCAGCAGCCCGCTGGACAGATGCAGAGACCGAGGCTAGGTAACCCGCCGGTGCCAGTCGGCCGGGGAGCAGCTGGCCCCGAGCCCCCTGCCGCCGGCCCCACGGCCCTCTTCCTGACGGCAGCGGCTGCAACACTCACACAGCCCTTCCCGTGCGCCCCACTCGAAGCTCTCTGCAAACCCAGCCCCCCCTGGAGCATGCTCCGGGTGCCGGCAGCTCATTGCCACGCCACCCCTTCCAGCGGGGCCATCGCCCCCATGAATCCCATCCCACATTCAAAGAAACCAAACGCTGGGCTAAGCCCCCGCCCCGAGACCACCCACGGTGGAGCAGACCAGGGTCTTGAACCCAAGCAGCCCGGCTTCAGGGGCCCCACCGCTCCAGGGCTAAGGCCCTACTCAAGGCCCTCTGCTCTCCTGACGCTAACTGGGGGGCTGTCCTTCCAGCCCTCTGAGTTCCTCCCGAGCCTGGGGAGTAAGGCCAGCACCCCCTTGAGAGGGAAAGCGCTTTCGTGCCCTGGGAGTGAGTGGGAGGGGTGGGGGCAGCTCCTCCCAGCCTCTCCCAGCTGCTGCGGGGGCCCTGGCAGGAGCTGGGGTGGCAGCAGCACGTGTCAGGGATGAGCTCTGCACCCCTGTGCCGCTCCCCGTCCCCCACAGCCAGTCTGGCAGAACCAGTGCTCAGGAAGGGCGGGGCCGGCATGACCAACGGTATCTCCAGCCTCATCCCACCGAACAGGAATGGCCAAGCAGACAGCTGAGGAAGTGACCACTCCACACCCCGGGGGGGGGGCGGGGTGCAGGTTCATTGCCAGACTGGGGCCCGAGGGCAGAGGGTCAGCACAGGATGAGCTTCCCCTGAACCCGCCTTGTTTGCTTCTCACCACAACCTCGGCAGGTCCGGGCTCTACGCCACCTGCCCCTGCAGCCGAGGGCACGGAGGCTGCTATAAGAGACCGCCCAGCTCGCATCCCCAGCGGCCGACAAGGCGGGGTTCAAACTGGCACTGTCCGACGGCACAGTCAGAGCTGGGACCCCACCACCACGGCTCACAGGCCACACAGCCCGGGAAGCCTGGCAGGTGGAACCCCCTCGGGGCTGCGGGGGCAGCAGTGCCCTGCTGTGTACTCGGGGCTCCCGCCGTGTCTCTGAGTGCCGAGCATGGGCCAGGCACTGGGCACTGCAGGGGACTTACAGACCAACCTTTGACAGTCACCGCAGTCAGGACTCAGCGTCACCAGGGAAGAGGGTGAGGAAGGGCAAGCTAGGGGAGGTGCCAGTCGAGCTCAGACCCGAATGGAGAATGGGAGTGCCAGGGGGGCAGACGGTCCCAGGCCGAGGGAATGGCGTGAGTGAGGGCAGGTGTCCTCGGCTGCCGTGAGCCTGTGAGCAGAGCCCGTGCGGCGTTCCCTCTGGCTCCACAGGCTTTGGGACGTGACCAAGGCTTGTCCCACATCCTGCCGGGTGTGTGACAAGGGAAAACGGGACCTGGGCTCACAGCTCTTGCTCTCTGTGCAGCCGGGCTGGGGCTCGGCCACTCCACCCTCATGCGTAAAACACAGGCGCACCAGCCACTGGCTCAGGCGAGCGGTCGGGGAGGGGAGCCTCGCAAGGGCCGGGCCCGTGGCGGTCCGTGACATGTGTCTCATCTGATGAAGACACCAGGGATGCAGAGACCTCGTCACCAGAATGCTCCGACCTTGTAAGGAGGGCGATCTCTAGTGACCTTGCACAGCCCCGAGACGGGGACGAGCAGAGCAGGTCAGGGCCGGGGAAGGAGGGATGGAGAGTCCCCAGCCCCCAGCAGACACGGCCAGGGGCCCTGAGGAAGCCACTGCCGCAGGGGAAGCAGGAGCCCTGGGTCGGGGCTCCATCCATCCATCCATCCATCCACTCACTCAGAACTGAGCTCCAGCTGTGTGCCTGATGCTGTTCAGTGCACTGGCCCACAGCCGTGACCTGCGGGAGCAGAAAGATGCCGATCCCACCAATCAGAATTCATGACAGTGAAAAGGAAGAAAAAAAACTATGTCTACCAGCAGAGGACCTGATACGTATGTGGCAAGTGCCAAGCAATTCACTGAAAACGATTACAACACCCGAGTGCAGCGAGGCTTCAGGATACAAGCTCAGGATACAAAGATCGATTACTTCCACGTACTAGCAAATACCCACAATGAAACGAAGAGCGATTTATTCAAAAAGGATTAAATACGTAGGTATAAACTTAACAAGAGAAGAACAAAACATATACTCCAGAAAACTACAAAACATGGTTGAAAAAAGTTAGGGAGAGCTAAATACATGGAAAGATACCCTGCGTTCACAGATCAAAAGATGGAATATTGTTTAGGTGATAATACTCCCAAATTGATTTAAAAATTCAGCACGATCCCTATCAAAATCTCTGTCGGCTTCTTTGTAGAATTTTGACAAGTTGAACCCAAACCAACCTTGGAACATCAAAGGGCCAGACTAATTAAAACAACCTAGAAGAAGCAGAACGAAATCAAAGAGTTCACGTCTTGATTGCAAACCTTTTACTCAGCAACGGTCATCAAGACAGTGAGTGCACTCGTGGCACAGGGACAGACGCATACGCAGACGGAGGGAATAGAACTGAAAATCCGAAAATAAACCTCCGCATTTATGGTCAATTGATTTTTCACACAAGAGTGCCTGCAGGGGAAGAACAGTGGTTTCAACCAAAGTTGCTGGGACGACTGGATATTCACATGCAAAAGAACACACTAGGACCCGTTTATCATACCATATGAAATAATTAACTCAAAATGAATCAAAGAACTGAGTTTAAGAGCCAAATCTATAAAATTCTGAGAAGAAAACACAGGGGTAGCTTCATGATAGGGGATTAGGAAGCGGTTTCTTAGCTGTGACACCAAAGGGTCGCCAGTTCGATTCCCCGTTGGGGCACACGCCGGGCTGTGGGCCAGGCCCCTGGTGGGGCAAGGGGCAACCGACTGATGTTTCTCTCCCCCTCTTTCTCCCTCGTTTCCCCCTCTCTAAAAATAAATAAATGAAATTAGAAAAAAGAAAAGAAAGTGAAAAGACAACCCACAATATAAAGGAAAATATTTGCAAATCACATGTATGATAAAGGACTTGTAGTTTGAATATATGAACAGCACAGCTCAATAATAAAACAACAAAAACCCAATTAAAAATCAATTGGCAAATGACTGGAATAGACATTTCTCCAAAGAAGATACACAAATGGCTAATAAGCCCATGAAAAGAACCCTGGCTGATGTGGCTCAGTGGATGGAGCTCAGGCCTGCGAACCAAAGGGTCACTGGTTCGATTCCCAGTCAGGGCACATGCCTAGGTTTCAGCCTAGGTCCCCCCGGGTTGGGGGGCGCATAAGAGGCAACCACACATTGATGTTTCTCTCCCGCCCTTCCCCTTTCTCTAAAAATAAATAAATAAAATCTAGCACATGAAAAGATGCTCAACATCATTAGCTACCAGGGAAACGCAAATCAAAACTATAATGAGCTGCCACTTCACACCCATTAGGACGGCTATAATCAAGACAGATAATAACACGGGAAGTGCTAGCAAGCCGGTGAGAAATGGGAACCCTCCGCACTGCTGGCAGGAACGTAAAGTGGGGAAGCCGCTGCGAAAAACAGTGTGGCAGCCCCTCCGAAGGGTAGAGAGTTACCCTGCGACCCAGCAGTTCCACTCCTAGGCATCTACCCGCGAGACATGAAAACATACGTCTACACAAAAACTTGTGCACAGCAGTACTATTCATAGGCACCGAACAGTGAGCAGCGGAAGCACCCCAAATGTTCATCAACCGAAGAGCGGACATATATAGCAACGTGGCCCACACATACAACGGACTCTCACCCCGTAATCCAAAGAAACGGAGTGCTCACGTGTGCCGCAATGTGGACTAACCCGGAAAACACGCTTAGATCAAGAAGCCAGTCACCGAGAGCTACCCACTGCATGATTCCATCTATACGAAATGCCCAGACCAGGCAAATCCACACGAGACGGAAGGCAGACTGGTGATTGCCGGGGGATGGGGCAAGGGCGGGGGGGAAAGGGGGACTGACCCCTCACGGGTGTGAAGTTTCTTTGGGGGGGGGGATGAAATGTTCTGAAATTGATTGTAGCGATGATCACGTATCTCTGAATGCACTCAAAACCACTAAACTGTACACTTTACATAGGTGAACGGTGTGACGAGAAGTACATCTGAACTCCCACACAACACACACACGGCAAGTCACACACACGGTAAGTGGGACCCAGAGAGAAAAGTGGGGGAAACAGAGCAGGGAAGGGAAGGTGCAGGGGGGTGCTGGGCAGAGAGGAGGTGGCGGCGGCGGCGGCTCCCGCAGGTGGTCAGGGAAAGCCGTGAGGGCAGTGAGGTCTGTGCACGGCCTGGGGTGCAGCGGGCTTGAGGGCTGAGCAGAGACGGGGAACAGCTGTCCAGAAGCGTGAACTTCCAGTGCAAAGGCCCTGAGGTAGAGACACGCTGGGCAGATGGAAAAGCAGCAGCGATGAATGGACCGGGGAGGAGACCAGAGGGGATGCGGTTGGCAAGGGAGCAGGGGTCAGGCTGTGCTGGGCC